CAACTGATGAAGAGCTTGGAGCAGCTGACATATGAGGAGAGCCTGAGAGACGACATGACAAGAAGCAATGGGCAATGGACTGAAAAATATGCGAGTCCCAAATAAACATAAGAAGAAATACTTGTCTCCTGAAGGTGATCAAACATTGGAACAAGTTGTCCAGAGAAATTGTGGAGTCTCTGCCCTTGGACATACTTCAAACCTAACCAGGCAGGGTCCTGGACAACCTGCTCAAGTTCACTTTGAGTTGAGGAAGCAAGGTTGGACTAGAGACTTCCAGAGGTCACTTCCAACCTCAATGGTTCTGTGAGCCCATCAAAAAGTATATTTACTATATATACATAGGCAACTAGCGATAGGACAGGAGGACATAGTCTTAAGCTGTGCTAGGGGAGGTTTAGGTTGGGCATTAGAAGGAATTTCTTCACAGAAAAGTGATTAGATATTGAAATGGGCCGCCCAGAGCGGTGGTAAAGTCACTGTTCCTGGAAGTATTTAAGGACAGATGGGACATGGCGCTTAGTACCATGGTCTAGTTGACGAGGCGGTGTTCAGTCATACTGGACTCAATGATTAGGTCTTTTCCTACCTAACTGATTCTGTGATATTTAAAGAGTCTGTATGAAAGGGAGACATACTTCAATAGTTACAGATATAACTAAATCAGTGAATACCAGACATAAATTACAAAACAAAAGGTTTTACAGTGAAGCAATTATTAACATTTGCATTACTTCACATGTGGCCACTTTGCGGTTATGCAATGAGAAGACATTTAAAGTAATGTTTATATGTAGACTGTGGAGTGCAGGACTGATTTTGTTCTCTCTAAAAATGTCGTAACATTTTTGTGCAGCTCCACAATCAAAAAAATCTCATCAATTTACTCTTTCCTGTAAGACTCATTCTAATAAGAAAAATAAAACATGATTATTGCACATCATCAAATAATCTGGCTGAACCTCTTCAAGATTATACTTAATGGTTCCTATAATAGCTCCCCTGATTTAAGATTTCTGGTCTTTTGTTATTGTCTCTGTTAACTGGTTTCTGTTAGGATTTGTGTTTCTATGTCTTTAATTTATTGCCTCTCCTGTTCTTTTTTTTTTTTTCCTTAATGTGGAATGAGCACTAGTCAGATGGCCTTACAAATAAGATTACAGAGGTACCTATTTTTATCTAGTTTTGAATTGCAGCAATCAATTCTATTAAAAAAAATTCTTTGGAAGTTCTTGGTCTTAGTGGCTAATCACAACGCTTCCTAAGGGAAAAGAGTGCCAAAATTCAGTCCTTTAAATAAACTACTGTTATCTGTTCTTTTGATTTATTGTTTTTTAAGACGAGGCTGGATGTGGCACTGAGTGCCATGATCTAGTAATCACAGTGGGGTTGGATCAAGGGTTGGACTTGATGATCTCAGAGGTCTCTTCCAACCCAGTTAATTCTATGATTCTATGATTCTATGATACAATGCCCAGAATCCAGAAGGAGCTATCTTAAGTGAGTATGTGTATACATTTAACATATATTTTTTGGGGAAAAAAAGTGTGCGTGTGTGTATGTGTATATATGTATATATATGTATATACATATTAAGACACACATACACATATGACTCCTACCTCTCATATATTTGGTGAGACTTTTTTGAATGTGGTTGCATGTTAGGCTATGGATTGCCAACACCAAGAGTTGCCTTTTGGCTCCCAGCATCAGATCAAAATTATAGTGGTCAAATGAGACAAGTTACTGACCTGATCTTCAAAGAAAGAAACACCAGGGATACATACATACAAATAGCCCAACACATAATCCCCCAGTGCTAGTTCACAAGTGTGCTCACTGCTAGACCAGATCACTCCCACAGCCCTGACCCACCCATATTTGCAGCAGGGAACTTGGCATGAAGTTCTGGAGAAAATGCAAGGGAGCAGCTGCATAGTTGGGGCAAGAGAATGCAGACTGACCCATTCCACATTTCCAGTGCACCAGACAAGCCAGGCAGGGAAAAAAGGCTTTCAAAATGGGTATTGCTTCCAGACTCTCCTTTTGCATCCTGAACTCCCTTCAAATGGCCCACAGGTTGCTGGGGATGCACACTATCTGCAGGACTCCCCAGGGAAGACTGAGAGCAAGTGACTCTAACCCAAATCCTGCCCAGTTCTGCTGATAGTCATGATGCGATGCTAGGACACACCAATAGGCTGCTGGAATAGCAAAGGAGTCCTTACTCCTTAGAGGCAAGTAAGCAAGCTCCCCACTCTGCGTGCTCATGATAAAATTCTCTCCTTCCCCGGTCATGACAGTGCAATATGGGCAAGCTCTGTAGTGGTAAAAAAGCTTCTTGAACTGGAAAACAGTGTGCTTGTCCCCATGCACCAGGTACAGTTTCTCTTGAAGGACCTGTAGAGTCCAAGGAAGCCTCACAGCTACCTGAAAAAACAGAAGAAATATGGGCAATTCAATATTCATTTTGTCTGTGAGACATGCTCCCTGCCTTTTTATCTGCTTTGTAATGCTGACTTGTTGCCCCTGTATTTGTTCTTATGCAGGCTATCTAAAAAGACACTTGGGGAACCAATAAAGTAATTTAAAGTCCTGAGAAGTCCACAACACTTAGCTGGAAGTGAGTGAGTGGGGATAAACCAGATTTACAGATTGTAAAGCAAAAATGCAATAAGACATCTATGACCAATTCTGCAATACTGGCCACACGCCAAACACCCTGCACCAATTCCCTAATTTTCACCTCAAAGGACTCCTCCAATTGTGAAAAAGCAATCAGATCTCTATTTAAATTGCTTTCATGTCAATTGTATTTTTATTCCTTGAATGATTCACTTCCAACAATTCACTACCTTCCGCAAAAAATAGCTCCCCATTTGATAAAGGGAAGTTACTTCTACTCAAATAAATTTTAAACTGTTGATACTCCTGCTGTGTTCTCAAGGAAGACTCTTCAGATTTTTCACATTTTGTGAACAAATGCTGCTGTAAGCTTAGTTTCTGGCTGCAGAAGATGACTGTATTTACATGCAAGATTTCTCAGATTAAATATGTTAGTATGTTAATCTATTTATGCTAATAAGAGCATTACATTAATAGTACTGTACAAAGATACCACATTATGTATTTAGTCTTTACAGAATAAACATTTTTGTCAATTACTGAGCCATCACCACATATATAATTACCTATAGGCTATCAACAGCCTGCTTAGCTTTATAATCTGCTGAAGATAGTACTTAAATTCAGCAAGAATCAAAACCCACCTGTTAACACAGAAATTATGGTGAGCAGCATGGGATTGAACCAAAGTCTTTTACAGATAAGGGAAGAATTGGCACTTACTCCAGCACTGCAGGATTGAAGCCAACAGTGCTCAACCTCAAATAATGCATCCTAAAAGCAGGAACAGCACATAGCTTTTGTAACCCACTTGTATGCTGTGATATTTATGTCAATGATGCACAACCAACTGCCTAGCCAAACTCCGCAGTCTTTATTATGATGATAGAAGTTTTGTCAATAGAAAGAGTTTCATTATACTCATACACGATAAACAATACTGTTGCGGCTCCCATGTTACACAAAAAGTTGTATAGCTGGAAAAAGCACGTGCCCCGTGTGTCAGAGACAGTGCACGAAAAAAAATTCTTTCGACAATGAAGCAAAGTACTGCGACCTCGTTCATCTCTGTAAAAGTGTAACAGAAGTTCTTACTACATTTCAGACCTTATTGTTGCAAGCTGATAATGAACGAAGTACAGATTAAATTATATTTAACACTAAACACTAATTTCTTCTGAAGGAACAAGAGTAAACACGCATATGAAGAAAAACAGTACCAAAAAATGGGGGCGGGGGGAGGAGGATAAAAAACAGGTTGCTAAAAACCAGTTTATTAGATAACTCCACATCTTTGAAAATGGCCAGCTTTGATTAAAATACTACCCGAGTTAAGACAGGAAATGAAGCAAAGCAATACATATACATGGAGAAAGGTAAAACTGGTACGCGCTCCTCTCGGCTCCGCTCAGCCGCTGTCGGTGCCTCTTCCGTCAGTCCCACAAGGAGCCGCCCTCCCCCGCTCCCGACTCGGCCCCTTCCCGGCGGCGCCCGCGCGCCTCCCGGCAGCCCGCGCGGCCCGGGCCGCAGGATGATCCACGAGCTGCTGCTTGCCCTGAGCGGGTACCCGGGGGCGGCCTTCACCTGGAGCAAGCGCGGCGGCCTCCAGGCATGGCACGACCCCGGCCCCCGCCCCTGCCCCGGCCAAAGCTTGCCTTCGCCCGCCCCTCACCGTTGTTGTCCCCCAAAGGTGTCTCAGGAGCTGCCATTCCTCCACCCCAGCGAGACCAGCGTCCTGAACCGGCTCTGCCGCCTCGGCACCGACTACATCCGCTTCGCCGAGTTCGTGGAGCAGTACACGGGACACGTACAGCAGCAGGTGGGGCCGCCGGGCCGCGATGTTTCCCGGGAAGAGCGCAGCAGGTGTCATTAAAGGCAGGCTGCCTCGGACGCATGAGCGTCCCGCGGCCTGTGGCCCATACCCGCCCCAGCACTAACAAATGTGCTTTCCGGAGCGGCGCTCCAGAAAGCTCAGTGCGATGCACGTACAGATGGGTACGGAGCAGTGAAAGATGGACCAAATGTAAAATCTCGTTCCTGAGGAAGTCTTGTAACAGTTTCTGACCACAGCAGACTGGTCAGGATTTGTGAACTGAATAGGATATTCATGTCTACCTTGAAGTGAGTTCTCAGGGTTTGTGAAGAGCCTTGAGATCCAAGAGGCATGCTTAAGTGAAAAGAAGCACCGGTACCAGTGGTTCCCAGCACTTGCATAGGTCCACAAAACTCTGCTCAAGTAACTTTCCTTGTGACAAGGTTGTATTTGTGGTTTTGATCGCTTAATGGTGGGATAAGGTGCATTTCAACATGCTTGGAGCCCTGACTGCTGATGTGACACTGCACAGGTATTCTGTTACTCTTCAGACCTTCACTAGGGTGCTGATGCAGTTTTTATTGTTTGATTTCAGGACCATCACCCATCTCAGCAAAACCAGAGCGGATTACATGGCATATATTTGCGAGCCTTCTGCACAGGTCTTGATTCAGTGCTGCAGCCATATCGACAGGCACTACTTGACCTAGAACAAGAGGTAAAGGAGGGAGACGTGGAACAAGAGGCGGTCCTGCTGCTGACAGATGGTGGAAAGTTGTCATTTCTGCAATGCATATGCTAAGTAGTAGTACCTAAAATGAGACAAGGTATTTTCCTTTCCTCATGAGGGATGCCTTCCAAATTATTCCTGTGAGATACTATTGTAAATTACTCTTCATCCTAATAAGTATGAAGTCCCCTCTTCCTTCAGTTCAGTAAGTGCTCCATCTGTGTCAGAGCCCAGTGCTGTCTCAGACTGTTGTCTCCTGTTTTCAATTTTAAAGGTTTTGCTTAATCTCTGCTAGATTAATAGCTGTCATATCTTGGGTACTATGACCATCCAGTGGTTGTCATAATTACTTTTCATTAATTGCTTTATCTTTACAGTTTCTGACTGACCCACATCTTTCCATCTCGCATGTTAATTATTCCTTGGACCAGGTATGTCATGTTAATAAACAGGTAGTGTTCTTTGGTTACTCTTATCACTCATTGAGTCTAATAAGAAAGCGTGTGGGATAAAGAAGGTTTAGTCTGTCACATCATGCCATTTCTGTCTAACACCTCTACATCTGTAGTCCCTTAATCATGTTCAGAGGATCACCTGCACTTCAACACAAAGCTTAGGTCCTCCACCTTGACTCTCACACATTCCTTTCTGCCTGTGTTTAGCCTGAACTACTTCTGGAATGTAACTTTGTGCATCTTGCTCCAGTGAAGGGAGGACATCCTTCCGAGAGATTTTCATGTCATGTTTCTCATTTGTGGGGAAAGACATATAACAGTTTCATTAAATTGTCGTGTTCAGCTGCTGTCCAGACTTACTCAACTATAGTGTTTTCTCTCTTCCTTGCATAACAACCTAATTCAGTATTTTGCTCCTTGTTCTGCAGTTTCAGTTACTCTTCCCCTCTGTGATGGTCATGGTGGAACAGATCAAAACTCAGAAGGTACAGTAGAATTACAGCTAGTTTCTCTTAACAAACTAGTTTCCTCTTTAACAGATAACATTATTTCTGCACCCATCCCAGACTTTTAATACTAGCAAAGAATGTGGTTTGAGTAATAGATGCCCTATTACTAGTACTACTGTAAGTACTGAATAACTATTTTGCAAATCTGTTTACACTGGATTTGACTTTTTTCCATTATCAGTATGATCTTTGATGACTAGCATTTTATAATCACAGTGCATTTTATAGGATAAGATGCTGTTGGATGGAATTTCTTCTTTTCTGAATCTGTTTTCTCTGATTGTCACCTGAAAAAAAAAAAAAAAGATGGTTACATTTTGTTAAGGGAAAGTTTTGACAAAAGCTTGGGTGTAGAGCACACATGGAGTATTGTTACATCTTTCTTTCTGTAAGGCTTGTTCAGTTTGCTAAGGGATTTTCTTGCGAGCAGAAAGCATAGAGTCTAAATGTATGAAAAGGTCAGTACAGATCCAAATAACAGACATAACGTAACCCTTTCTTTCTGCAGATTCATGGATGTCAGATATTGGAGACAGTCCACAAACATAGCTGTGGGGGGTTGCCTCCTGTTCGCAGTGCTCTTGAAAAGTATGTAGATACAGTAAAACTATTATTTCGTTCTTCTATAGGAACTGGAGTCAGTGTCAAAGTATTTATCTTACTTGTTAAAATAGTACATGCAAAACAGCCTTGCATGATAAAAAGGTAGGAGTAGCATGCAGGGAAAACTGTCACAGCCCCCATTATTTATATAAAGCAGGCTTATGGTGGGAATTAAAGTTTTCTCCATACTTTGGGCTAAGGGCTCAGAAAAGTTCAGTCCCACTGTGTTTTGTTTTTCTTTTGAAGTCTGCAGGAACAGTTTTGCATATGATAGACTTGTTACTGATTCTGATCCTTCAAAACGATAAATGTGACTGGGTGAGTGTTGTGATGTTTGTTATGTCCTTGTGGAGAAAGTTCTGAATACTTAAAATGTAATTTGTGTTCACGCTGAAATGTAATTGAGTAGAAACAGCAGGACTGGGAAGCCACTGCAAACTTATACCCCTGCTCTACTAGCAGATTTCTGTGGAGAAGCCACGTAATCAGAGAATACGTTAGTTTAGTTTTGCACCTTTTAGTTTTGTACGCTTTTTTATATTTTAAAAAAATTATAAAAATCCACATTAGCCATTTAGCACTTGCCACACTGCCTGGCTGACTGAGTGGACTTTCCAGAATCATGTACAATGAGGTTTTGGTTACTGCATTTAAAGGCCCCGTTGTCTGTTTTTCTTGACCTCAGGATTCTGGCTGTGTGTCATGGAGTCATGTATAAGCAGCTCTCTGCCTGGATGCTTCATGGATTGCTACTAGACCAACATGAAGAGTTCTTTATCAAACAGGGCCCCTCTTCTGGAAGTGTCCCTAGCCAACCTGAAGAAGATGACGATGACTTAGGAATTGGGGGACTTACAGGAAAACAGCTACGAGAACTGCAGGACCTGGTAAGAACTACAAGACGTAGCTTGCCATGTTTTGCTCCTTAGGGAACTAAAGAAGAAATGTATTTTCTACTGCTTCCGTGTGAGCTATGCTAGACTAGATATATATTGAGGCCTGGCAAGATGGCAATGCAGTAACTCTTCCTGTAGATGCCATACCATTAGAGTGCCCCTGTGCAAAGCAGCTTTCTCAATGGAGTAATCTTCCACACTTTTAACATTTGAGTGTCTGAATAGAGATCAGTGAGGAGCAATTGCAACTCTAATTCATGCTCTGGTGTATGGTGAGAAAGCATTTCACGGCCACCTATGGTGTTAGTGTGCTGCATGCAGCTTGGCTGTGAATGCACAGATTCCCCTCAAAACACCACGTTGCATGCTAATTAAGTACCCTGTGCAAACAGTCTCTGCTGAAAACAGACTACACACAGGCAAAACCAAGGGAAAACTTTAGTGAAAAATCTGTTATCTCACTATATCAGGTAAAGGAAGAATGTGAAAATTGATGAGTCTTCTAGGGCCATGGTGAAAAATGTGGACATTAAGAAGAGAACACCCAGACAAGCCTTATTACCTCCTTTCTTCAGTAGTGTTAACTAATGATGTTGGCAATTCCTCAGTCAAAGAGTAGAATAAGAAAACCCAAGTGTTGATGGGAGAGACCGATAAAATATTTGGGTATTGCCTCATCTAAAAGTGTCAGTAGAATCTTAAGAAAAGAACTGCCAACCTGTTAATGTTGGCATTAACATATGTTAATATATAAATATAATATACAAATATATACAAATTATATATATACACACACCCACACACACACACACACACACACAAACTTGTACTGAACTCTTCTGTTAAAAAGAAAAAGCCCATAGATGGCAGATGTTCTCAAAGATTTTTCAGGATGATTTTTTTTTGATTATGGCCTACTGAAACTAATTCTCCAATAACAAGAAAGCCAAATGAAATTATCAGCATTGCTACTCTGAAGGAAAATCTTGCCTCTGTACTTGGAGTTCTTTATTATGTTCAGAAAAAAAAGTTAATCGCTTACTGTATTGTTTAAACAGCTTTCGCAGGAGCTGAGAAAATTGCTTTATTTTTGCTAGCAAGCCTTTGGATCTTTATTTGCTCACTAGTGGAGGCATTTACATTTGGCCTGTATCGCAAGTGTTCTAGAAGTGTTAAAACATAGGAGTGGGTGTAGGGGAGAATTATTTTTGGTAATGCTACTTAACACTGTTATGGCAGCAAAAGGACTCATGTAATGCAGTTTCAATAAAAATTCCTTTTGCTGAAGTAACTTCCTTTGGTACAACCAATTTGCTGCTATTCCACAAAGGTTTAGCTTCTCCATTTTCCACTTCTGCTCCACTCCCTGATGGAAGCAACCTCTCTAGGGATATCTGCTAGCATACTAGAAGCATAAGGAAGTTTACTGGCTAACTTAAATGATACAAATCAGTTTTGCTACCTTTCTGCTTACTTCCAACATTCTTAGATGCCCCCTCACACACATACACATCACCCTTTATACAGCTCTTCTACACCTCTGGTTTTCTCACACTGGTTTGCACTTGATTTCTTTTCCCTGGTGACAGCGCTTGATTGAGGAGGAGAACATGTTAGCTCCATCTCTAAAACAGTTTTCTCTGCGAGTAGAAATGCTGCCTTCATACATTCCTGTGCGGGTTGCTGAGAAAATCCTCTTCGTGGGAGAATCTGTACAGATGTTTGAGAATCAGAATGTCAACCTGACCAGAAAAGGTAATGAACCTCTTTCTTGCAATCTCTGCTTAGTTATGACTGACTGATAAGTAGTTTCCAAAATGCTTCCCAATATTAACAAATTCCTCAACAATCACTGACTATTGGTTGATATTCTTCAGACTATATGGATGGTCGTGCCAGAACAGGGCAGTGGTCCCAGTGTTCTGCTTCTGATTGATTCCAAGGGAGCAATATAAGAACAGGATGAGTAAATAACACTTTCCAAACATAGTCTCCAAATTTCCAGCAACAAGTCACCATGTGATTTGCTCTGGATAAATAAAGCGATTGCAAAGGTCTTGTTTTCCTTTCTGTTTGCATCCCTGTCCCTAAATTCTGCAGATAGACACAATGACACATCTTGCTCTGAGTGTATATGTTGCAGAATGGTGTCACAGTATTAACATGCATCCACCAACACGAGAAATTCATTTGCAAGGTGGGGCCAAAAGTTGCTGTGGAAGGCAAATTATCAAGATGGAGCCTTGAAGACAGCAAGGGAGAGGTAATTCAGCTGATGGCTCTCTTTGAGAGCCTGCTAAGTTTACGCTGGAGCTGGTTTGGGAAATACGTTCTTACGCTGGGGAGGACTGCTGTGGTGGCTCTATCTTGAGTTTGTCTAAGCAAAATACTTAAATTACTTGAGTGACATTACAAAGAAAGAAGCACCAATTCAGCTGGACTGTTTTCTTACCTTAGCAGCAGCAAGGTAAAAAAAAGTTGGTCTTCTAGCTCAGCTGGTTGAAAAAAAAGTCCCCAAGTTCAAACAATAGGATAGATTTGAAAAGAGCAGGGATAGGGGGAGAACCAAACCAACTTTTTTTTGGGTTCAAAGATCTAGCTCAGTCCTATAGAAAAAGGGTTGTCAGCAACAACCAATTATGTAGAAAACATTTGGCATTTTTACTGATACCACGGCACTGCCATGGCAAGTATCTATACTGTAACTGTACCTGTATTAGTAATCTTGTACCGTGGTACTTGTACTTTGAGACCTTCTCTTCACGTTCCGTGCCGGACCTGAGACAGTGCTGCCTGGACAGCCTTTCTGCCCCACTGTGCTGGAAGGGGTCTGCATGTCTCCAAACGGCATTCCTTTTTACTCTCCAAAACACTTCTCATTGCTGCCCAGGCTCTATCCTAAAAAACCAGGAGGACACTTTTGCAGCAGAGCTACATCGACTCAAGCAGCAACCGCTCTTTAGTTTGGTGGACTTTGAATCAGTGGTTGACTGGATACGGAGCACTGTTGCTGAGGTAAGCCTCCTAGGAAGGGTAACTGCTATGCAGGCTGAGGAGCATTTAAATTTTGTGAGTGACTGGAAGAAGGGGGCTTTTCAGAATCAGTGATTGAACAAGCATGTGAGCATGTAGGTAGCGTTCATGTTCTTATGGGTCTCAGAGCTTCATGTAACCCCAGCTTCTAATGACAAAAGGACATTAACAAATACTATGCACTTGCAAGGGCGAAAGAAGGGAGGCTTTTGTATATTTTTTCATTTCACCTGAAACGACTCCAGAACTTTTCATTGTGCTTTTAGTCTAATAGATATCAGCCCACTGAACATATTCTTTGCTTTAGCAATTTTTAATCCTTTTTTTTCAGTTGCGGTGGGGAGGAGAACCGGAGAAGATTGGGGAGGTTAGAAAAGTGAGAACAAAGCTGAGGTGGAACTGATTTCATAGGAATTTGCCCTTTTTTTTTTTTTTTTTTTTTTGTCAAGGGTCTTCATGTGCCTTAGGCAGAATTTTTTGCTGGTATATATCAAGAGTTCTAACTAGTTGCATGGGCTGCATGAACACAGGACGCTGTGTTCTCTTGTGCTTTATATAGCATTGGCTATAGGTGCTTTTTTTGTGTTCATTGCAAGTGTCTCAAGACAGCTACTATTCTCTCTGAACGGGTAAGACAATTCTGAGGGGAGGTCTCTTGTTTTGTCTGGCTTTTGTTTCCTCACTAGCATCTTTGGAAACTGATGGTGGAGGAATCGGATCTACTAGGACAACTGAAGGTAATGGAACTGCTAGTTTGTTTTTGCTGAAGCAGCTTATCTCTTTCTTTCTTTTTTAAATTGCTGTTTCCCATTAAATACTTACTGCCTTCTACTCTGGGCTTTCTTCTTTTAGATAAAGTTGTTTTCATTTTCCAGGTCTCAAGAACGAGCACGGAGTGATAAGAGTTAGAGGGGTATCTGTACATGGTTTTGTGGTTTGCATCTTGAAGCAAAGGTGGTGTAGACTCTTTGGGCAGTGAATGAAATTCAGAGCTCTCCAGCTGTGTTTTAAATGGCAGAAGTTGTCCAAGGAATAATAAAAACAGATGCTATCAGCTAGGATGCTTAAAATTTCTGCTCATTTTGGTATGTTTAGATACAAAACGTTTATCTTCACAGATTATAAAAGACTTTTATCTTTTGGGAAGAGGTGAGCTGTTTCAGGCTTTCATTGACACTGCACAGCACATGTTAAAGACGCCACCTACGGCTGTAACTGAACATGGTGAGTGTTGCTTATTCACTTATCAAAGTGTCCTCACTGTGGTGTAGGAGGAAAATGGTGAGCCATGTCCAGGTACAGGAGAGTGCTATCATCTTACCTTCTAGATGATATCATTAGTTTTGAGACAACAGCATTTGTAAACTAGAATGTCTCACAGAGTGAAAACAACCTCTCAGAAACTTTCAGATGCCAGGTTTCTCCCCATATTTGAAGCTGGAATTAAACCAGTGGCAATAGTGCATCAGTGTTGTCTTTTGTGGCCAGGCATAAATAACTAATGGGTGCAAAATTAGCACTAGCTGCATCATCTTGAGTTGGTATGTGTGTTCTCTTGTTGTCAGATGTCAACGTTGCATTTCAGCAGTCTGCTCATAAGGTGCTCTTAGATGATGACAACCTTCTTCCTCTTCTTCACTTAACCATTGAGTATCACGGAAAGGAGCATAAAGGTATATATACTTGCATTTTTAATGGTGAGTTAAGATGGGAGATGATGACCTTGTTTTCAAATCTTGTTGCTCTTCTCTGAAGTTAAAGAAATACTACTTTTGTTCCCTTTACAGCCCAATGTAATGGCCCAGACTGCTTTGGCTCTTAATTCTTTTCTCTCCCTTTCCCCTTTTCTGCCTTGCCATGGTTGCAGTGAAAAAGAACATAACGTAATTTAGCACCTCATTTGTTTTCAGATACTTCTCAGACTCGCGAAGGGCCTTCCCGGGAGTTATCTCCACGTGAAGCCCCCACATCTGGATGGGCAGCTCTGGGCCTTTCTTACAAAGTTCAGTGGCCACTGCACATTCTCTTTACTCCTGCTGTTCTTGAGAAGTAAGTACTAGGTATGGTCTTTGTATATTCATCTATATGTTCCCTGAGCTCAGGCACTCACTAATGGGTTTTTTTTCTCACTATGGAGAGAAAGGTAGAGCTATAATACTTCATCTTGCTCTCTGAACCTTAAAATGGCTCTTTTCACTTACTCATATTGAGAATCTGTGTAATGATACTAAGACCTACAAGATGCTGACAGACTTGCATTAATTTACAAACAGTGCTACTTTAACTGGCAGCTCCCCTCCTTACACCAAAATTAACTCTGTATTTTTTAGGTCAGTAACCAGTACAAGCAGAAATCTTACTCTGAGATGAGCCATCACCTGATCTGCCCTATCTATTGACAGGCAGCCACCTCCTGTTTCTTTTTCCAGTCTTGCATTGTTATGTTCTCTAGTACCTGCAGCCAAGGAAGATTTTAGTCTTAAACAACTTTGTATTTTTTTCACCATAGGTACAATGTTGTGTTCAAATACCTGCTGAGTGTGCGACGAGTCCAGGCTGAGCTACAGCACTGCTGGGCTCTCCAGATGCAACGCAAACACTTGAAATCGAACAGAACAGATGCCATCAAGTGGCGTCTGAGGGATCACATGGCTTTCCTTGTGGACAATCTTCAGTATTATCTGCAGGTCAGTATTTACAGAGAAAGACAAACTATCAGTTAGTCAGGAACTAGCAAAAATGCATGGAGGGAGCACTGAAGACCTCAGGTTTCAGATTCTTTCTACTGTAAGGAAATCAGGATTTCCTTTACAAGGCTACACTTCCTTCAAGTTCCCAGGCTTAGTGTTACAATTAAAAAGTTTTTGGACTTGAGATTCAGTTAGTGTTAGTAGAAATGCAGGAGTTCTCTAGTGGCTCTCTAGTGCTACTAAACATTTGTGAGAAACCACAGACATCCTTGAAGGATCATCATTAAGATGCCATCCTGGTTTCTTCCTTTGCCTCTTACATGAACTCCACAGTGAGTTAAGTTTTGGGGTTTTTTGGTTGGTTGGTTTTTTAAAGAATTGAAAGAGGGACATATTCTGACCATTTGAAGCCAAAAAAGAGACTTTTCAAATGTAAACAGCAGTTACTAATAGCATGTCTTTGTGAGAATTACCTATCGCTTTGTTAATAGTTGTAACAGCGAATTGATGGGGCCTGGCTTTCTAGATTCTCCAGAGTATCTCATCTCTGGCTGAGCTTTTGCACTGCAGCCTTTGCCCTAAGATTCCAGATAGCATCTCCCCATATAAAATTCAGAGATTACTACAATCAAATACTTTTGTTTACATGCTGGTTATATACTTTTTTAATAGTTAATCCTAAAGAAAGTGACTGTTTCCCTTTCTACATAGATATTACTTAGGCATCAAAAATTCCTTTCCCCCCCGTTACATACTGCTGTTGTCTATAATTTCTTATTCTCGGGTAGAGAGAAGGGGATCCTCAGTCTCTAACATAAGAGTAGCAATAAGCAAGTTTCTTACACAAAACTTCTGGATGGTCTGAAGTACTCCCATTCCTCAAGATACTAATGAGATATCTTTACATATCCATCAGGTAGATGTACTGGAGTCTCAGTTCTCACAGCTTCTGCAGCAGATAAATGCCACACGAGATTTTGAGAGTATACGGTTGGCTCACGATCATTTCTTAAGTAACTTGTTGGCTCAGTCTTTCATCCTCCTAAAACCTGTAAGTAGGTCTAGTTTTCACCTTTTTCTACAAATTCTCCAACTGCCCTAAGATACACACCTCTTTGAACAGATATGACAAAACATATCTTTTAAAACAGATCAGTGATAATCTGGAAAGCACAGACTACAATTCTAGGAATAAGGCAGGTTTAAACTGGAACAGATAATCAAATTAAGATCACTTAATTTACAGTTGGTGAGTGTGAATGCTGCATTTTGTGCAATGTGAATTTTAAATCAAGATGCTTTCAGTGTTCAGTTAACCTTACTAACTTTATCACTATATTTTTATCACAGGCCATTTTATTAAAGAAGTACTAATGAGCATAATGCTGGGAACTGTATTCTTGAGGGCATCATGCTGAAATGCATTAGACTAGGAAAAATTGTCTCTCCTACTTCTACTTAAGAGAATAAAAATAGCTGAGATGTTCCGGAGTGGACTTTTAAGGGTCTTTTTGTCTTTTAATAAAAAATGTGTTATAATGTTGGAGTATATTTATAAACACTTTAACTTCACAAAAGCATTCCCAAAGAAAGTTAGTTTCAGTGAAACAGTGTCTTTTTGCTCAATGAGACTATTGTAGCATAAAGGTGGCAGAATACCAATTATCCAGTCTGGAATTTTGATGTGTTCCAGTAGTTACATCTGTGAAGCATTTGGGCTTTCTTAACACTCTTGAATGCAAGTTACCTTGACCAACTGATACAAAAAAATTCCAAGTTCAGTGAACAGTGAAATCAAAGCCTTGAACCATAGCTCTTGCTGGTCTTTATTCTTCCTTCTTCATCCCGAAGCTGCAGTGAATGACCTGCCGGTTGGACAGGAAAGCCAGTGTTCAACTGCTCTGCCTAGTGGACAGCTCATGCCAATCCTGTTTCCCCAGTAATGTCTGCAAAAGGTTGGAGGGAGGGGGGAAGGGCAGGAGGGGGAGATGCAGCATAACATTTAAACCCTTTCTCAATAGAAAACCTTACAAAAATGCTACAGGTACTTTAACATCTTCCTTACTGGTTAAAAAATACAGTATCACAACATCTTGATTATGAATGCTGCAACTTTTTGGGTACCAAAAAGTGCTTTCCTTGTGTTTGAACTCTGTTTCAACTACTTATCTTGTGCTTTTTATCCCATGCAGGTTTTCCACTGCTTAAATGAAATTCTGGATCTTTGTCATAGTTTTTGTTCTCTGGTCAGTCAGAATCTCGGCCCCTTAGATGAACGGGGAGCTGCACAACTCAGTATTTTGGTGAAGGTGAATCTGTGTTTCTGTGGATCTGCTCTTCTTCCATGCAAATATCTGCCTAATCTGCCAAGTTATCTTGACTTTAACAGTTGTAGTACAAGAGTGTGAGCTGAGATGTTCTATATGAGGACTTGTAATTATTTTAATCAATCAACTGTACTTAGGCTGGAAATTCTATGTGCACAGAGAGGAGGAATGTGGGCAGATATTGGAACAGAATGAGGCAGGTATTTGTTGGTGCCTCTATCCCTTCTTTTGGATAACTAACATCTAGGAATTCTTGTGGCTCACAGCTTACCTTATCCTGGACCACAAGGATCACTTCTCATGCAGTTATTCTTTCGTCAGGGTGTTAAAGGACTGGTTGGGCAGAAAGAGAGATTAAAGGCTTGCTTGCTTTCTGAGAGGGCCCAGAACTGACTTCTTCTAATTTGTAGGGATTCAGTCGTCAGTCATCACTTCTTTTCAAGATTCTGTCTAGTGTTCGCAACCATCAGATAAACTCTGACTTAGCTCAACTGCTGCTACGCTTGGATTATAACAAATACTACACCCAGGCTGGAGGAACCTTGGGCAGGTAGGAATAGCTTCAGGGTTGCTTGTAGCATTATCCTGAGGTACTTGGAAATACAAAGCCATTTTTATTGATTGCTTCTAGTTATTTTGGCTTACCCAAAGTGTTGCTAAATACTATGACAGAGAAGTAACAAACCAACATGAATTAATTTTTGGGTTTCATATGCTTTCTCCCCTTTGTTTTGGCAGGAAGTTGAACAAGCTGCTAACTCATATTGGCTGAAAAATGCTGATGTGGGTTGATAAAGGGAGTTACTTTCAACATGTTATTAATACTTTACCCTTCTCTTGCAGTTTTGGGGTCTAAGTACTAAGACCTTTCCTTCGGGGTGTGACCAGTGACGCATCAAGCAGCGGAGACTGGTGGAGACAGCTGGGAGAATTTGCACTCAACTTCTTTGTAGCTGGCTCTTGCCTGGTGAATTACTGTTTCAGAAGGAATTGGCAAGGAAGTGCCACTTATGTGAGGCTGCCCAGTGATCACAGAAAGCTACTCTGTTTTTTCTGAACTAGTAAAAACATGCTTTCTGCAGCCCCACATATTCTTATAAATGCTTCTAGGGAGGCAGTCCGTGCCTCTTCAGAAAGGGAAAAAGCACCAAGAATTATAATGTCTTGACTCTACAGCTGGACTATGCTCCATTGCAAGTTGGAGTATGGAGGAAGTAATCTATTGTTCTTGACTATGAATGAAGTTTTAGCTGTATTCAGAAGTTCCACTTGTGCAGTAAACTGATTTACAGTACACAGTGTCTTCTGATCAAATACATACCACCTCGTAAATGAACCAGCAATAGCAATTTTCAATTGAGGTGAAGGGGGAGGGAAAAAGGAATAGATTTTAAGAATCTCTTTTCATGCATTACCCTGTTGTAGCATATCTGTGCAGGTGAAAGAGACACCAGTGATATCACATGCTTTCTCTATACAATTTAATACATTTTGTGTGCTGATACTACATACGCCTAGACAAAGTGGGAGCTTTGCCTTATTCAAGTACCAAGCACCCTGTGCCAGCAGAAAAGTGCACTCACGCTGAACCTCAGTAGACGTTTCCCAGGGGTGTCTGTCTGCTCCACTTGGGCTGTTTTCATTCCAGACTAGTTAGAATGCTACTAATGACTACCCTACTGTACCAAAATAAAACCATCTTGTCATGCAACTGTATGGAATATTGTCAATATCTGCATCCCAGTGCAAAGGGAATAGAGTGGCATAGATATTTGCTGTCAATGAAAAGCAGTATCTGGCAGAAACTTCTTGTCTGTTAATAAGATTTCGTAGCCTTGCTACAACAAACAGACTACCTTGCTGCAAGTCCATTTGAATGACTGGCAGAAGAGAGCCCTCGAGTCCATCTCTGGGGGTGTTGTATCAGGTTTCCAATTTGAACACAAAGGCTGCCAGGAAACCAGCCTTCCCTTCAAAGGGTTTTTCATGTCCTTGGGGGGGAAAAGAAAAAATCCTCTCTGCTCACTCAGAAAGACACAGGTAACAACAGCCAGCAAGTATAAGACCTGGCACCTTCCATGCACTACAGCTGTTTGTGGTAGGACTGTAGCTAATGCAGTTTCAAATCCTGTGACCATGGAAAAAGCTAGAAAGGTAGAAAGCGTGTTGTGGGATTTACAGACCAACACATTCAGGTGTCTGAGCTAGGAAATGATAGAGGAAAAATACACATTAAGAAAAACTTTACACTTCTGAAGCAGGGGACTAAAGACTGTACATGGCTGGATGGAGGCCTGGGTGCACCTTCAGCCTATAGCATTGTTAGAGTGAAGAGCTTTTGCCTTTTTGCCAGCTTAGTACTAAGATGAAGTGCCTGGTTGTGAATGCAGAAGCCCAGAAGCAGACGATTTATCCCATTACCATTTAAAGATACACAGCACTTACATGCTCTTTGAACCCCAAGTCTCCCAGCAGTTTAGCTGTCCAAGGTTCTTGAGTCTGTATCTCTACTTAGGTAGTGGCAGTCTCCACTAAGGCAGGTTAATTATATAGTCACTACAGGAAAAAAAGAGAGGTAGCCAAAACAAAATGGCACTTTGTCCTAGAAATTTGTAGCAGTCACTTAGCAACACCTTAATGAAATCAATGGAAAAGAACAACAGCAAACTGGAGCAGTACAGAACACGGTATTCTTCCAACAAACAGAATTGCTGCTGCCCTGAACTTTGTGGTATTTACTTCTGTAAATACAGGCTGCCAATGGAATATGCCCCCTTCCCTTCCTTTATAACTGACTTTGTGTTGAGGTCAGCTTTTACCCAAAGCAGAATATTAGTGCTATTCAGCTCAGAGAAATGTAAGTATTTCTTTTCTCTTTGTCCTCCTTTTCTGAAGACATTGCTCTGGAATAAGTTTAGATAAATGAGGAATCCCAGCAGATACCACAAGAGGTTGAACATTTATTTAATCATAAAAGTCCAGCAGATAAAACTATATACAATAATCCATGCATACTGCCCATTTCACAAATATTTGAAATCTGATTAAAACACAGTCTGCACAACAGTTGGGGCAACAGGGCAAAGTTTTCATTTACTGGGGGACATAGTCATGTTTATATTTTGGATGCTGCTTGTAGCCTACTCTCTCCCCAGCAATAAGGCTCTGGATCACCCACTCTTGTGAGACAACAGGCAGCCGTAAAGCTTCTGCACACTTCAAGACAACAGCTGGGCAGGAAAAATCAGTCACCACCACATCATAAACACCCAAAGCAATATCTGCACGGGAGGAAAGACAGGCATCTGTCAGGTGAAGAAAGAGGACCTGCTCTGCAGTAGCAGATCATAGAAGCACTGAATCCTAAATGATTTGAGAGGGACATTAAAGCTCATCTCATTCCAACCCCCTGCCATGGGCAGGGACACCTTCCACAAGAACAGACTGCTCCAAGCCCCGTCCAACCTGGCAGATCCATGTGTTTTACCACTTTGAATCTCTCTCACATGTCCTCTCATTCCTAGGTAGGGAATTCTCTTAATACAAGTTAATACAGCAACCCTGCACCTTTTGGTCCAGGTAAGAGAAAACCAGTAGCCAACATTACAAGCAGGACACTGAGTCCTGACCTCAGGCTGGGCGTACTAAAACCTACATCTGTATGGAGAGGGTTGAAAAACTGAGTTGAAAAGGACAAGGAAGTACAATTTGAGATGCCCACAAAAGGTCCAGGAGCAACTCTTGCCTATCTCCCCCTTTCAACATAGGCTGGAAGCTAACAGCTTGCTAGCTGCAGCATTTCCTCTGCAAAGACAGGTCTCCCAGGAGGAGAGCAAGTGTCTTGCACTTTGCCTTCCTTTCTGCTTATAGACAACCTTGTAAGCCATTCTAAATGGTTTTAAACCATACTAGAGTACGCTAGCATAGGGTTCCCTGAGAAACCAGCCAATGAGTACCTTTGTTGTGAGCATTTGAGTAATGCTGTTTAACAGACGCTGCTCCCCCTGTCATGAGAATTTCAGACCACAGATCCAGGAAGCTCTGTTGCTGGTCTGACACCAGGAGAACCTTTAGGTTATGAAATGGGTTTTCTCGTGGGTGCCTGTAAAGAGAAATTCAGACTACTAAGAATACCTAGTAGTCTAGTCACCTGATTGGCTCCCATATTTGGTTCTTGTGTACAATGACCCGCTCTTTTACTACCCCTCCTGAATCGATTATCCTGTTTATAGAGAGTAAAACAGAGCTAGACAATAATGGTGGAGGGTGTGTGCAGCAGCCTAAATCTGAAATTAGGCTAGGCTCCAGAACCACCTTTCTTGTACAAATCCAAAATGCTTCCACTTTGACAGGTCTGCGCAGGAAGTCATCAGTCTCCTTCCTGCCCAAAAGTCTACAGCGATTTACAAACTTTTGTCTGCCCCTCACCTTGCCTGAGGAGTCTGAACTGACAACTGTTGTCTCAAAACAGACCTACTGAATTAGCCTCCATAAAAAATGCAGAAGCTAGATTCAAAACGTACCAAGAAAAAAGGAGTATTGCTCTACTGTATTCATTTCTGAGCAATCAGAGAAGTTAGCCATATGTGCGGAAAGCCTTTCCTGAGTTCTGTCTTCCTCATGAGAAGACTGACTCCTTTCTTACTTCCCAGGAGACTGTCTTTTTTGAGTATATAGCACCCATATGTATTTGGCACTAGAGGTCACAGTAAATTCACGGAAAGAGATGGGAGTGCTGTTCCTATATTGAAGGAAAAACATGGAGAGCAGTACTAGGGCCACCTTCAGTACCTGTAGTATTCAAGAGCCTCCCAAGCGTAACAGTTCTCTTGGAGATTCTGTGGACTCAGATCAGTTATTTGGCACTTACCATTCTAGCAATTTTTGCTCCTGAAGGCTATATCCAGCTGGCAAAAGGTAATTCCGATAATTTTGAAGCTGGTTAGCATGACAGCTATCATGGACCCAGATATGAGACACACAAGGGATCCCGCTGGCAAGGCACAGCAAGTATTTCCGAGTTCGACAATGCTGGTCCGCAATTAAAAGACACTGATATGCTGCATTACACTTCGAGGGAGATAAAAAGATATGTAAACAGGAGACAATGCTTGCAAAAACCCCAGAAATTCTCCTGCTGCTAGACACTTTAAAGAAAACAACTGAAACCCTGATTTTCATAGCCTTATTATGTGAAAGATGCATTAGATAAAGGTACTATTGATTTCAGAATCTGTTTAATAATCACCTATTCCAAGCTCTGCAGTTCACAGAGAAGAACTCTGCCTAACAGTTTTTTGCATCATAACCCTCTTCCAGATGAGATCATTTATTTATTAGTTTGATACTCAGTCACTAGAGAAGACTGCTTCCTCAGGCAAGTTGCTCCAAGAACAATTTACCCTCTTTATTAAAACACTCTAAAGTTGAGTAAAAGCAACACTAAATTAAATTAGTTGTCCAAGGAGATCTGGTAAGTGAAGAGCTCTACCTCTAAGTGTTCCAAGGCACAGACCTGTGGTGAGACCCATCTGCACCCACTCCTAGGTTCTGCAGTACACTGAAAACACCAGACATGCTGGAGCAGGCTCAGTCAAAGACCACTTAGAGGTATGGGCACTGGAGCACCTGACATACAAGAAGAGGCTGAGAGAGCTGAGCTTGTTAAAGCTCAAGAAGGGAAGGCTTGAGTGGTCTTATTAATGCACATTCATGACTGATAAGAGGGCGTACAAAAGATGGAGCCAGACTCTTCTCAATATCATCCACTCAGAGGATGAGAGGCAACAGTTACAAACCGAAATAAAAAAATTAAATAGATTTTCCTCTATTTTTTTTTTTTAAATTGGGGGTGATCAAACACAGCATTAAGGTGCCAGAGAGGCTGTGGCATTTCCATCCTTGAGGATACTCAAAACACAACTGGACAAGGACCTAAGCAATCTGCTCTATTTGATCCTGCTTTCAGCAGAGAGGTTGGACAAGATAAGCTATAGAAATTCCTTCCAATCTCAACTATTCTGTGACTGTCATTCTAGATTAGTAAGTGAACCATTACCTGGGTTTCATTGAAGTCTTCCAGGATATAGCCAGCTCCTGCTTGCAGCTGTTGTGCTATGTAATGTTTGTCGTACGGAGTCATCTCTAGAAATTCTACAGCAGAAAGTTCAGTTTTTGACTATAATCTATCTGCTTATGTTCCCACACCTCAGTCTACAGAGTCCTCATTGATTCCAGTAAGAGACCCCAGCCTTTCTCCCAACAATATCTAGAGAAAACCCTTGGAAGAGTCCAAAAAAAAAAAAAAAAAAAAAAAAAGGGGAGCAGAAAGGGTAGCACAGCACTAGCCAGATGAGCACCTTGTCATTTTTTCCATGTTGCAGTTCACTGCATGGAACATAACACTAGCAAAGGCAAACTGGAGCAACCCATACATGCTTTCAAGTTCTGTGTTTCCCAGCACTATCCCTTATCTCTCAAAACCTTCCTTCTTACATTAAACTATTTTGACACCCCTGATCTCACTAATTTTTACACCTTTCTTAGCTTGCTGAACAGCCCCATGATCACCATTGAGGTTTGCCACATCTTAGGCCACAAATTCTCTAAAACAGAGATCAAGTCTTGGGTCCTTTCTACAAAGGATTAAAGAGCAAAAGAGTAAACAAGCACTTACACAAATGTCTGATCAGACAGTATCAGGCATTTTTCCTAAAGCCACAGCATTTCACTTGAAAATGCAACAGGTAAGATTTGCCTCACCTTCTTCCTCTTCGCTGCTCCCCGTGGGACCATCTGATGGCTTCTGGTGACCGACCAACTTGTCACTTGGTGTTGCCATGGTGAGAAGAAAGGCATAGCCCAAAAAGAGGGTCTTATTGAGGGGCAAAGGTCCATGATGTTCCTCAAGTACTGGGGGATCTACAGCACCTACACCTTCACAGGTGCTTACAAACTCTCCAGCTCTCATAGCCCCTGCAGAGAGACAGAAGCACCTTAAGTCTTCAAAGTCAGGTTCTGCACAAAAACCCTGGGTAAGATATTTCATCTGGTGCATATGTTCAACTCAGATATTTTACTGGAGGAGACAGGCAGGATTGGGCTAGGATTACACTAGGATAGGTAGGGATATTTTACCCTTCTGGTTGCAAAGAATCTTCGAATCAAAACCTGGATGACTAACGGGACAATGTTTGCCAGTCTTATCAACATCCTGAAACAACACTGACTGCTGTGAACACTGACTCCTTTAACAGCTAGGCATTTTGGGACTGATTAAAGAGATAAGAAAGGAGGGAGACAAATCACAACAATAAAGTCAGAACATTTCTAAAAGGCAGAACTGAAAAGATGGCAGGTAAGTACTCAGACTATGCTAAATACATCTCTGGCTGAATGCATCCAGGGAGAATCAGTCTCAAACCCTGCAGGGCAAACAAGCAATCTCACCTCCTTTTTGCTTATGAGAAGAGGAAAGATCAATTACAGAAATACCAAGGCAACAAAAAAAAAAAAAAATGAATGCAGGTTTAAGAGCAGAAAATAAGGTTCTCACCAGGCTTTATCATTGCTGACTTGCGGCCACGTTTAGCTGGGGATTGCTCATCTTCAGATGCAACAAGTTTCCTTTTCCCAGACAGTGTGCCTGGTGGGATGCGTGGACTCTCCTGCCCTTTACGAGTAGGAGTTGTGCTGCTGCTGGAAGTGCTGGGAGAACCAAGGTTACTACGTCGCTTCCTCTTCCCCTCCACCAGATTATCTGCAATACAGTATGCAGAAATTAGTCACAGGCTGTCACCAAACTCCACGAGCTTTTATCCTACCTATCTGTACAGAGGTGGCTGAATGCAACAGTATCTAGAAGGTACACACCACCATCCTCTGACAGAAGAAAGCAAGAAAAAAAAAGTATCTCGCTTGTGTATCTTTCTTCTCAAGCCTGGTCTCTCTTCCTCCCAGTACTGCAGGAGATTTTGTATCAGGGCAGCCATCCACCAAGTGTACATAAGTACGGTAAGCATCACTGTCTTAGAAGCAGACTGCTTTCCACAAGCCAGTCAATGCCACTAAGTCTCTGACCCTGAACAATAAAAGGATCTTGAAGATCCCACTGTGAAGTACCAAAAGCATTACTGAATACCCAGAAATATTTAAACACTGGTAACTCAGATCAGGTACCAGAATTATCTCAAAGGCACAAAACACAGAAGAGCACAGCCAGCAGTTCAACAGCACCTCCCCTTACCAAGACTGATGTCAGCTGCTTTGGTCAGAGGGGTGACTGGTTCATAAGGACCTAGCCCAAATTGCTCACGGAGCTTATTTCCTTGTTCCAGAGACAGGATAACAGCCATTCGTTTGTACCACTTCCTCTGGCCTTCCTTTTCAATGCAGTAGTATAGCTCTCCAGACTCTTTCCGGTGCCCCTTCACCACACCTGACGCGACAACAAATAACACCTGTTAACCAACCATACCCAGGCTTCTCATTCTCCTGGAAAAGCATTTGTTTTCAATTGCATTCAGTGACTCAGAAAACCAAGGATAAAACTCAAGAACTGCTCTTACCTGCACTGAAGTACTCATCCTCAGACAGTGCGGTCACCTCTGTCTCCAGTGGGATAGGATCACAGAGTAAAATATCTTTTCCTAGCACATCACATTCATATCCATCATCAAAGAGCAGCTTGTACTTTCCAGCCCCAACATCTTGGGTAATCATCCCAGAATAAAAGTACCCATTTGAGGACCACTTTGCTACAACCCTGAGGCCCACAAAGCTGCTCCCAGAGGATGAGTCCGCACAGTCCAAAGGACCAGTCATCACTTGTAATGGGATTTCTGGAGAGTCGCTTCGACGTAACGCATAGAAGCCAGAAGTGTCAGATTTCTCCCCTCCACCTGGTTCGCGAACTGAATGAGTAAATGGTTTCTTCTCAGGTGATGCCATAGTTGAGAGATCCTCCACACCTGGCAGTCCAGCTAAATCTCTGTAGAAAAAAGAAAAGTGGTCCCAGAGAGATCTGCAAAAAGTTACTACTTATAGAATACTTGGGTGACATGCTTGCAGCTGCTACATGGTATCACTAAAAACTAACTCCTTTTCTCTGTCTCATTTAAGACAGGAGTTCCCCCTTCTTCTTGGAAATAAGTTACAGTCTCCTTTTTCCAGGGTACCTTGTTCCTGTTGTTCGAGAAGGTGGGCGGCCTCTTCTTCCTCGTCCACGAGGTGTCACAGGTGCCCTGCCACACTGACGAGTGCCAGTCATAGAGTCCTCTTCCTCACACGGCAGTGCTCCCATCTGGCTAACTCTGAGTGGAGATGCAGGCTGCCCAGCTCCTTTCCTAGGGCTAGAGAATTTATGAGGTTACTGTTCTGAAAAGAGAAGCTAGCTCATCAGGATCCTCCCCTTTTCTCGATCATCCCCCAAAACATCCAGAAGTTTGCCTCATCACCGCTGAACTGGCAAGAGCTTAGGCAAAGCAATGCCTCACAAGAAAGCAAAATACTACTTTAAGAAGAACAGATGTGAAAGTAAACACTATCTCCTTATTTCTGCTCATCAAGCCAGATCTTTCCCAAAAAACTTTTGATTTAGGTCTACTCTGCTTCATGCTCACAAGCCAGATGCTCACTTCCGCAAACTATCTTTTCCCAAGACTCTGCACATACATACCTTAATTTTCCTAAGATGCCTCTGCCAGTAGGTAAAGCAAATCCTCCAGTTTCTGTCCCACACGCTTTTCCTTTGACAGTTCCAGTTCCTCGTCCTGAGCTGCTGCTGCTGTGCGTGGCAGAGTGACCGCTGCTTGCTCCACTAGATGTGCGGTGGAGACTTGAGGCCTTAGATGAGAAGGAACTGACATCACCAAGATCCCCTGAGGTCAGTGACGAGCCCACTGCAGTTCTACAGGAGGAGGATGCATCAGTCTCACATTCCTGACACTCCACTACAGGCTCCTCAGTTTCCTTGAAAGAAACAAAAAGAGGTTTGTCAAAGGTGATGAGCATGCTAGATGGAAGCTCTACAACCACTGATCCAAAGCGCAGACAAGCTGAGACCACATTCATGAAGCTGAAGACAACCACGCAGACTTGACTCTGGACTGATCCATGGTAGTGCATCTCTCACTATAGGCCTGCAGCCTGCTCTTTATCAAGAAGTCACATTAAGAATTCAGCCAACAGTGTTGTTCAGGAATACACTGTGTTGGTAGCTCACAGCTCAGAGTGCAGCTGCAGTTTGAACTGCAGGTTGAACTCAAGAGGGTGAGAGCCTCAGGCAAGAGGCCAAGCCCCAGGCAAGAGGCCGTGAACTGCATAACAAAGGGCACAGGGGCCTGGACACTTGTAGACATAGCAGGGGCCAGTGATTCTGAGACTTTCCCATCTTAGACTGCAAGGGTATAAAAGACCAAGGGTTCCTTTGTTCAGGATCCCTCCTCAAAAGCACTAGCCTAAGCTGTTATTTTGTTATGTAGTTACTGCACCAAGATTAAATTATTTTGAGGATCCAGATGTCTGAGACTCTGCCATGGGAAACGTGGGGTTGAGCTGGTGAAGAAACCTGTCCAACTATGTGAGTATGGGGTGTTCAGGGAGTCAAGCAAGGTCCCTGTTGGTTCACTGGAGCTGTCACGGCAAAGGGGCCTCAGGTCCCAGCTCAGCAGTGCAGCTGTGACTGCCAGAGTGGTTCCTGGATAGTCAAGATAGGAAAGTTTCCTTAACTGCAGAACAGATTGGTCTGGCACTGAATAATTCCCACACTTCCAGACCGTGAGAGTGCAACAAATACATGAGACGCTGGAAGCCTTTGGTTGCTCATAGAATCAGAATATGCCAAGTTGGAAGGGACCCACAAGGATCATTAAGTCTAACTCACAGCACAACACAAGACCATCCCCAAGAGTTACACCATGTGCCCAAAAGTATCATCCAAACACTTCTTGTGCTCTGTCAGCCTTGGTGCTGTGACCACTGCCCTGGGGAGCCCGTTCCAGCACCCAACCACCTCTGGGTAGAGAACCTCTTTCTATTATCCCACCTGTCACTGGTCATCACAGAGGAGAGATCAGTGCCTGCCCCTCCTCCTCCTCTCACAAGGAAGTTGTAACTGCAATGAGGTCTCCCCTCAGTCTCCTCTTCTCCAGTTGAACATACCAAGTGCCCTCAGTGTCCTCACACGGCTTCCCCCCAAGGACTTTCCCCATCTTCATTCCCCCATTTGGACACTCTAATGGCTCAATATCTTCCTTCCATCGTGTCCCCCCAAACTGCCCCAATATCGCAGGTGAGGCCACCCCAGGGCAGAGCAGAGTGGGACAATCCCCTCCCTGGCCCGGCCAGCGATGCCGGGCCTGATGCCCCCAAGACAGGGCTGGCCCTCTTGGCTGCCAGAGCACTGCTGTCTCATGGCCAACTGACCACTGACCAGGACCCCCAGGTCCCTTTCCCAGCACTGCTTTCCAAGATCTCATTCCCCATTCTGTCCATACATCCAGGGTTGCCCCATGTCAGGGGCAGAATTTGGCACTTCCCCTTGTTGAACTTCCTATGGTTGGTGATTCCCAGCCCTCTGATCTGTCAAGGTCTCTCTGCAGGGCCTCTCTGCCCTCAAGGGAGTCAACAGCTCCTCCCAGTTTTGTGTCATCTGCAGACTTGCTCAGTGTCCCTTCCAGTCCTGTGTCCAAGTCATTTATGAGGATATTGGAGAGCACAGGGCCCAACATGGAGGCCTGCGGAACCCCACTAGTGACAGGTCACCGGTCTCATGTCACCCCAGTCACTATTACCCTTTGTGCTCCACTCATGAGCCGATTGCTCGCCCACCGCCTGATTTGTTTATCCAGCTGTGGGCTGGACATTTAGTCCAGAAGGATCCTGTGGGAGACAGTATCAAAAGATTTACTGAAATCCAAGATTGTTTTCAACAGCTTATCATTTGGAGCCATTCAAGCTTTATGGATACAAAATATGTATCTACAAAATAGTGATATCAAATGGTGGTAGATAAAATGGAAATGGTTATATAATTGTGATTACATAACCTATGTAAGCACATTATAGGAAACTTAATTCGCCATTTTAATGTTACAATAAGCAATTTCATGCATGGTATCAGGTGTAAAAGTGTAAGCTTTGCGCTGAACTAATTTATCTTTTTGTGTCATTATTCATCTTGATTACACAGCACAAGAGTCTTATGTTATAGCAGAATAGCAGTAACATTTTATTGCTAGCAGGCTGATGTGATTACTGTACACCTCAAATCAGCAATTTTCAGCTATCTTTTGTGATTCCATAAAGACTTTTTGACATACTATAACACAAGTGTACTAAAAATAGGCTAGCTTATTTCTTAGTTTTAAGTTGATTTTTGTAGACCTCTTACAGAATCTATCCCACAGGACCCAAAAGACTGCAGCTGAAAATAACACTGAGCTGTAAAACAGGATAAACTATCTTACACAGTTCAATTTTACAGGCAGAAGTGATTTTTGTTTACTAATAGAATTTCTGCCCATTCTGAAATATCTCTATTCTGACAAAACTCCAAGACTTCTAAAACAGTTGGATGCACATCTTTCGTTCAGTTCTTTGGGAAGAAAAATCAGTGTCTTCAGAACACAGTAGCAGGCATGAAATACACTACCATCAGATACACAGCTTTTGCCATGCACTAAATGGTCTGCATGTTTGCTCACAAAGAAAGCTTTATCATCACAGCATGCAGACTTGTTCATTCAACTCATTTTCTGCAGCCAGAATAGTCTCATTTTAATTACTTCTATTTTTCAGCCAACATATCATTCCATTTAGTCCCAAACCCAAGAACTTACCTCAACGACTTTTCTTTCCACCTCTGCACCATTGATGTAGTAAACATCTGTTATAACACGTGTAACAATGGTGCGTACTTCTCGAATGGTTCGCATGTGGCGACGCTGAACCTGACCCTTGGGTGGGTGAAGAAGGTTAAACTCCTCCTCTCCCTGTAATAAAGAGGACACAGTAAAAACAAAACAGACCACAACAAAAAGCAAATGATTTCTGGATAGAGCTATCTCTGCAGTACAGTTTCTTCATACCATGTTTAACTACTGGTCTAGGGAATCTTGCAGCATCTTGTTACAAATTAGATGCAACAACACAAGAGACCCCAAACAAAGGAGAACTGAACACATTTTGCTGACTTGCTGACAAGTAGAGGAAGGGAAATCACAGCAGTCCAAGAAGGAAACAGCAAACTTATTTAGCATGACTTCTCATACTCTTTCATTCAGTGGACTCTTAGACATATATCGCATCAATGTTGCACTGCATTTTTATAGCCCTGTTAATCTCCTACTCCCCACAGAATGCACTATTCTTAAATCAAGTTTAGAAAAAAATCATTTTTCTAGTCTTTCCGTTCACAAGAAAATATACAAACTGCAACAGCAAAGCAGCGTTTTTTCTTGAGTCTGCAATACTTTCTGAAATACTAATTCAAAGTTAGTCATCTTGTTAGAATATTTCTGTGGAAGAAGTGTCCCCTGGACATTAGATGGAATGTCGCTGGTTGGAGCAAAACAGAAGACATCAAACCATCCGTTCAAAATTTCATGCAACTCCCACCTGCAGTCAACAAAAAGTGAAAAACTTCTTACAATGTTAACTATACTTGCACCCAAAAAAACTGAACCCCAAATGAAACCAACAAACCAACCAATCAAAACCTGTCACACTTTTCCAGAAAATAAATATGGAGACAATAATTTCTCAAACTTATGCTACCCCGTGAGCATTGCTACCTTAGCAGTTGTGTACAGTTGATTCAGGAAAGCTTGCAACATTAACATTTTAAAGTGGTCCTTTGGTTTTTTCCAACAGAGAATGAATTTACTGGCTGAAGTATCAGATACTTCAGTGTCCTACAGCAGTAAAACTAAATACAGGCAGCCTTCATCCCACCTGACTGTGCAAAGAGTCCGTGTCGTCTCCAGAGGCGTTCACAAGCTTTTCCCCACTCTCGTCAGTTTGGACACTCACATCTTTTCGCCCAGGTCTCTGCCCAGACATACTGGTTCCCATTTCCACCTGTCTACACATTTCTTCTGATGTTTGTGTTGAAGTTGTAACAGTTGTTGGGGTAAAAAGACAGTCTGCTGTAGTCTGGATCCCTTTATTCTTGGTGTTTTCCCACCTCTCTTGACTTAGATCAGTTTTAACAGCCTTACTTTGTTTCCTCTGCATTCTTCTCCCTTCTGCCTGAGTGCTCATGACATCAGTCTCCATAGACTCTCCATCCTCTGCACCAGAAGATTGCTGACAGCAGTCCTGCTGCATCCTCTGAGGAATCAGGATCTGTCCACCACTGCCATCTGCCTTGTGTTGCTGGTACTGCCAATCACTGGGATTTGCATGTAATTCAGCATCTTCTTCTGTGCCAGGAAACATGAACAGATTTCCCCTATAAACCAGTTACACACAGATCAAAATTACTGATTAAGAAAACAAGACAACCAATACACTGCCACTCAAGTGAAACCAATATTAAAAAAACCCCACCCTGGCAGTCATTCAATTGCAACTTAGGACTGCACAGAACTCAGTGAGCCTCAAATTATAACAAAAAACCCCTTTCAACACTTCTCAAGTGATACACATGGTAGCAAAAGGTATGGCTGACACTGTACAGAACTAGGTGCTTTTTCAAACACTAATATAGCAATCTACACTCCACACATCAGGCACCAACTACATAACTTGCTTCCAGAAGTTACTACAGGCTGCTCCAGCACTTGTTTGGTTGGAAACTGGTAATCACGTCTAGCAAGAAGCATACACCCAGCAGCATAAACACAACTGCTGTCCAAAGTTTTCATTAAAATTTGTCTGCTCTGCCAAAAGTGTTACTAGGTACTATATGGGAGTCTATATTGAGCCCTACTAGAAGTACATATCTGGCTTCCCTCGGCTACTTTGAGAAGTGACTCTCTTCTCTTCTATCTGTACCTCACCCAGCACTGGAACTCCCTATTCATTTTAATAACTAACAGTCTTTAGTGTAACTGTTCAATGCTCTTGAAACATAGATTATGCTTTCTATATAGACCAAGACCTTACTGCCCCATCAAAAGACAGAATGGAAAACACTGAAGAAGCAGATTTCTATCCTCCAGGAAGCACCCTTGTCATGCTAACATATACAGCTGTACAGTCCTTTTTAAAGCAGACAGCAAAAGTTGATGGACTTGGAAGGGAGATAACAGCAGGAACAATTACAAACAAAATTGGTCAGAAGATCTTGGAAGAGGAGAAAGAAAAGGTATTTAAACACCCTTAAGTATAATCTCAATTCTCTCAAACCATAGGTTTTACCAAAGCATATTTGTTGTCTCGAATCACATTGCTGCTCACTCAAGAGGTAGTCTGATTACCACATGAGATACGAACATACAGTATTTAGTATACTTACCCCCTTGTCTCCAACTTTCTAAGTCACCCAAAGACAATGACTTAGTGCAATTTCTTTGATGCAGAAAATGCACATGTGCATATAAATCCACCCAGGACTGGCAGGCAAAGACTGTGAGGAGTTACCTAAACGGAGAAGTGGAAAGACCATGACCTCTGGCCTCATCCTCCCGACGAACTTCACAGACACGACTAAACACAGATGATGCTTTCTGGGAGCTAGCAGTGCAGATTTAAAACAAACAAACAAACAAAAAAGCATCAGGGAGTGAGAAAATCCCTTACCCAGCAAAACAAGAATTCTCTAGCCCCTTGGGAAGGCAGCAACTGTTGTATTGGGCTTGTTGAACTACACAGACACAGAATAAGTGAGATGTTCTGTCTCAAAGGTCAAGAAACAAGCTGCCAATTGCATAAGCATTTCTGTCATTTCTGCAGACACTCTAAAAGCCAAGAGCAATGTAACAGTTTCAGGAAGTGTAGTGTGGAAAACTACAGAACCATCCAGAGTTTCAGCATCTACTTCCTCTGGTACCCACAAGGGGACACAGTTAGACCATTTATGGCTTAAGTTTTTAGGACTTTCACAACACCACAAAAATACTGGGAATAAAAGCAGACTCTGAGAGTTCATGTTCAACCTATACCTACAAAGGAAACCCACCCTCAGCACTGAGGCATGATTACTATCCAGCATGCAACCCTGTGACAAGAGGTACTGAGTTTATTCAGAAGTTTTTTCACTACTTCAAACCACTATACTTCACTCAGATGACTACAGGTCAGTCTTCCTAGTCAGATTCCTATTAGTAGTTATAAATGATACCTCCCAAAAGCTAAAATAAAGCAATGCTAGGCATTAAGTGTGAGATAAGACAGATACATACAAATCAAAAGACCAAAGGAGTAACTTCTGTTTTGGTCAATGTCTTAAACTGTGATTTCTAGATATCCATGAACTGATTATGCTTTTATCAGTTTCATATCAAAAAGATAATACTCTTTAGGGACTTCTCAGAGATTCTTTGCAGAAAATTGCACAAGACAAGAAAGCAGAAAACCATATATTTGCAATTTAGGAGGTGGATAAAGCAGACTTGCATTCTGGACTGCACAAGATATGAATTTCTGGCTGACTACAATCAGAAGGAAGCAAAATGCTGACATTATTAGGAAGGAAAAAGCCTGTAATGAACAAGCAGGTGGGGTTCCCACCTTGCCTATGTAATTAAAACCTGCTAAAGAGTTAATGTCATGGCTACTGCTAAGAGTGTTCCTTGCTTCTGCATCTCCTGATTTTTTTTTTTTTCTCTCCTGATGGTAATGTGTGGAAACAGGATCTACCCAGACCTTTGTATTAACTCCGCACAGCAAGAAGCCCAGTTACCTGGCAGCAGTCCTAGCAGCAGCAGAGGATCCATCTTTCCTGTCTATAGGCTCTGAAACAAGAAGGAAAGAAAAGATGATTTTGGCATCATCCAAAAAAACTCTTCTGCCTTTTTCCAGCTCCCCACATTCAGTGAAGAGAGGTTGAGTAACACTGGACAAAGGGTGCCCAGGCTTCCCCATCCAACTTCTCAGAACAGATCAGAGTTTCTACAAGTTTTAGACTATTAGACTGAATGCCACTGTTCTGACTAAAATACTGTCAAACTTTTTTTTTGTCCAGATTATGGACGGGTCCAAGGAGGCCACAAAGGTAATCAGAGGGCTTGAGCACCTCAGAGCCACCTACAGAGACAGGCTGAGAGAGCAGGGGTTGCTCAGCCTGGAGAAGGCTTTGGGGAATCTCACTGCAGCCTTTCAGTACTTAAAAGGGGGCTTATAAAAAAGAGGGAGAGAGGCTTTTTACACAGGCATATAGTGACAGGACAAGGGGAAACAGTTTAAACTAAAAGCCAAGAGATTTAGATTAGATGCCAGAAAGGAATTATTCCTTGTGAGGATGGTGAGGCCCTGGCACAAGTTGCCCAGAGAAACCACGGTTGCCCTATCCCTAGAAGTGTTCAGGGCCAGGTTGGATGGGGCTTGGAGCAACCTGGGATAGTGGAAGGTGTCCCTGCCCGTGACCAGAAGGTTAAGACTAGATGGTCTTCAAGGTCCCTGCTGACCCAAACCATTCTATAATTATATATATACATATATAAACATAAAATCTTTTCCCTTCCACTACAATCAAACTCCACTTCCTGTCCTGTGACGTTGCCACTATACATCACAATTTTAAGTCTTCTGGAAATACTCTTCCTGACAACAGAGGCCTCTCCTCTCAAATCCATCCTTGCTTAGCGCATTGCAGAAACTGAGAAACAAATTTAAGTGACACTGCCCAAAAAGAAAAATGAGAAAAATTACAGAGACTCAGAGACTGTCTTGGAGAATGCCAAAGAGAGGTTTTGAGTTAGGGCTGAGATCCAACAGGACCTCGACATTTCAGGTTTCGTCCTCTTACTTTCCAAACTGAATGGCAAGGACTCCTCACTCCCATCGTTCACAGGGGTAACAAGGTTCATTCGCAGAGAAAGTTTTGCATCCAACTCTCCCTTCTCACACACTTCTGACACATCTGCTGACACCACTGCACTTTCCACAGTGACATTGTCGGTCCCCATTGTGCTCTCTGCTGTAACATCACTGGTTGCTATAGTGCTGTCTGGACAACTACCATCCACTGAAAACAGGAAAACAAAAACAAGAAAAACAAGTAGCAGCTACTGTCATTCACACTGCTGGGGTTCAGGTCCTAGTTCTTATTTGAAGACGCTTCACTGCATGCATTATTAGTAATGAAATGGTGCAATAGTGGAAATTCCTTTCTAGATACGAAGCATGAAAAGTCTGTAGCATAGGTATCTTTAGCTTGTGACAGAATAATTTATTATTACCCAAGCAGAACACACTTCCTTTCATCCAGCACTAGCAAGGTGTTTTTTTGTGAGCTTAGCAGAGAAAGTCCTGCTAAAAGATGATGAATACTGGAAGCAATCTTCTTTTAGTCTAAGTTCTTTCACCACTCAGAAGGTTCTTTTACATTCTTCAATGGAGTCAATATGCAGAACGCAGTGAGTGCAAGGAAGATATACTGCCCTGTACTGAGGGAGCAAACACCTTCACTAGAGACCCAGGAGAAAACATGGCAAGGAAACTGTGGGGAAGGGATGAGCCCTCCCCACAGAACAGCAATGCAGCAATGGTTTTTGCCAAGGTAGGTTTGAGTTATCCTATCAGATCCTGCGCCAAGAATCAAAAGCTTTCAGGTTTTCACTGCAGAACAGAGCCATTCAGGTCAAACTCACCAATTGGTGTACTGTGTCTTCTGGGTCCCATTTTAAGGTGGCCAGTAAGAGGTGGTGTTCTGCTGGTCAAGGGCTGAATAATATCACCCTCCTTCGGCAAAGTAAGATGAAATGGGGTTCCTAAAAGACACGGAGCATAAGGATTCATAATTTCAGGGGAGTACTTTAGTTCAAATACCAAAAAGCACAGGCTCACTGTGCTGTGAAAACAGGGAAAAGTATAACACTGGTGCTGTACAAAACCCCCCTGAACAGTTACTGGTTTCAGGACAGCTGCTCTAACTGATCTTCCTCATATTTTGTGTGGAAAATCTGTTTCAGTGAAAATCTGGGCTGTGCTCAACTTGATGCAGATGTTCCCAGGTGCTAGATAAAAGGGAGACTAAATATCCTGACATGAATAGGACTTTTACAGAATGCAGGTTTGCTTAAGAAATGCCCAGGATTTTCCATAGAAAACAGAGTTGAAGCCAAAACCAGAAATGAAGGTAGGACAGAAATTAATTTCGCAGAGCTATGCGATGCCTGAATTGATAACCTGAAATTTACACAGAATGATGGCTGAAATGGCCTACCCCATCACAGAAACAACACCTTGGTGGACGTGAGGATCTTGTAGGATTTAAATAAATCAAAATATTTAAATAAATCAAAAACCTAGTAAAATGCTCCTTCCTTTTACCTCACCCCATGCCATTTATTTGCAAACTTTCAAGAAGTAATTTTTGTAATCCTCTCACAAAAAAAAATGCCCAATCAGCAAAAAGTTATCTATCATCTCTTTGAAAACTCTGAAAACCACGACTGGCCTGTATATCACAAGCTTTAAAGATACGGTTCAGTAATTCCAACATCCTGAGGATAACCTAAAAACTTCAGAGTATTTTTGCAGTGGGTAGTTACCTCGTAGTGCAATGGTACTCACACACTGGAAGGCCAATCACCATTCCTCACAAACAGCTTATGAATGCATGTCACATACTGGCCTAAAGTAGATCTCCATTTAAAAACTGTTTCATTTAAAAACTGAAGTATTTACAAACTCCACTGAACATTGATTGATCTAGCCACCGCAGTCCCTTCTAGCCTATAAATCCCCATTTGGCAGACTAGTAACAAATGATGAAAAGAATTTATTAAGTGATCATCTGCATTTTAATAAGAGAGAACCTAATTACTTAATCAATGAATTCCTCTAGAGAGAACACAAACAAGCTTTCACAAGACCTGAAAAAAACATGAATGCCTCAAAGCTTTCACATAACTGGCTCAACTGTCATGCCAATGAAAACAGTTTATTAACAGAAATAAATTTTTCTTATGTACTTAAGACCATCAATTCGTCCATTCGGAATTAAATCTGGCATGGGATGTCAAAGACAAGAAGAAGGGTTTCTTCAAGAACATCAGTAGCTAAAGGAAGCCTAAGGAAAAGGTGGGCCTGCTGCTGAATGTGGTAAGTGCTGTGATGAAGGTGGAGTTACTGAACACCTGCTTTGCTTCATCTTTACTACTAAGGCCAACCCCCAGGACACTCAGACCCTGGAGGCAAGAGAGAAAGTCTAGAGAAAGGAAGACTTTCCTTTAATCAAGGAGGACAAAGCTAGAGATCATTTGAACAAATCTGATACCCACAAATCCACGAGCCCTGATAAGATGCACCCACGAGTGCTGAGGAAGCTGGCAGATGTTACTGCTAAGCCACTCTCCATTTTTGAAAGGTCATGGAGAACAGATCAGGTTTCTGAGGACTGAGAGAAAGTCAATGTCACTCCAGTCTTCAAAAAGGGCAAGGAGGACTCAGGGAACTACAGGCTAGTCCATTTCACCTCCATCTCCAGAAAGATGATGGAAGAACTCATCCAGTGTGTCATCTGCAGGCATGTGGAGAAGAAGGTTATCAGGAATAGTCAGCATGAACTGACCAAGGGGCTCGACCAATCTGGCAGTGTTAGGTAACAGTAGCCTTTGGTGATGGAATGACTGGTTGGGCAGATGAGGAGAGCAGTACATGGTATCTATATTGACTTCAGCAAGGTTTTTGACACTGTCTCCTGGAACATCCTCATAGGTAAGCTCAGGAAGTGTGGGTTGGATGAACGGACAGCAAGGTGGATTGAGAACAGGCTGACTGGAAGAGCTCGGAGAGCTGTGATCAGCAGCACAGCCCAGTCAGAGGCCTGCAGCCAGGGTGTCCCCAGGGGTTGGTGCAGGGTCCAGTCTCGTTGGACTTAATTTATCAGTGACCTGAATGAAGCCTGTCCCCAACAAGCCTTCACCCAAAGTTTGTGCTAACTGATTTATGCTTAAAATCTGTTGATAAGGGATTAGACTCCTAAAATATTTATTATGAAAATAATTATTATGAGAATGAAGCTGCTTTAAGAGTAGAAGGATGTTCAGCTGGTCTTCATGCCTTAAGGACTGAGCGATGGTAAGAGAACAAATATCACTCTACATACTTTTCTACCATGCTTCATCAGTCTGAAGGCAGCAGGTAGAACACCTCAAAAACCTGAACTCTCTCTTAACACTGATCAGCCCTTTAGTGTAAATACAAAAGCACAGAACACAACCACCAGCATTAACTTCTGAGTTCATTTTCTCTAAACAGTGGCTTACAGTTTTCTTTGAAAAGTAAACACAGCCAGTTGTGATGTGTTCAATTTGCATGCATAGATTTTCTATAATAAAGCTTTTTTTCTTCTTTCAGTTAAAGGAAATTAAAAATAATAACAAAATTAATATAATAAATTAAGAATATTGTAGCTAAAACTTAATCATTCAACTTAAGTAACATTTGAGGTCCTACAATCTTTCCTCTTCCCTAACAGACTTCCTAGAGGGGAAATACATTTTCTGACACTAAAATCAAGTTCCCTTATTCTTCATTCATTCTCACTTAAGGACTACAGAACTGTGTTTTAAAATTAAGCCAGTTAAGAGGCAAAAGTTTCACAAAACACAGGTGGAGCATCCCACATGTCTCGTATAACTACATACATCAGTTAAAGGGATTTCAATGAATCATGGTAACTCCTGCTGAGCCACATCTTGCATGCAAGTGAAGATAAATTTGCTGTATTAGTTTCTAGCCCAGAGTTGCTCTGTACAAAGGAAATTCTCCTCTGAGAATGAGGGGAAAAAAAAAAAAAAGGTAAGGAGACTACAAGAGGGAAAGTACTGACTATCACACACATTCAAGGACACTGCTGTTGCTGCTTCTTGAGTGGGGGAGAAGTTACAAAAATCCCTGAACATTATCAAGATCACAACATTCTGAGTTCTTAAAGCTCCTCTGTGTTTCTACCATAAAAGAGTTACAAGTCTTAGGAACAAGAATTAGTTTATCATTCTTGCCCTGCACTAGCGTAGCACAGGCAGAAACAAGGGCACATTCTGCATGTAACACAGTAACTTGTAGTGTTGCTCTTAAGAGAGACTGTTCAACTTGCATCCAGGATCAGTGCTCCCTGAAAACATTGAGAATTGTATACAGCTGTCCCTCACGTTATTCAAAATACACACTTGTGAACTACTAACCTAAATTCACTTACCACTGGAAGGACGGGGGGATTTAGCAGTTGCCTTCTTCTGTGGCTGCACCTGCTCTTCTTGCTCCAGATTCCTTGTCATAACAGTATCCTCCATACTCTTTGGCACCCGATTCTCGTGCTGAACCACCCGTGTTTCAACCCCTTTCTCTTGAAGTGGTGGCTGATTGCTTATCATCATTACCTGTCCCAATTCTGAACAGCCTAGATGTTTTTTGGCACATAACGCCACTTCCAATTGAACATCACTCTTTATCTTAGGACACAAATTGTTGTGTTGCTCCAGTAACTCTCCTACAGAAGGCTTAGCTAAAACTTGATTGAGCTTTGGCACGTTTTCTGCAACAGCCTTAGAGGACAGTTTATCCAGGTTCTTTGCCTCACCACTGTCAAAAGTACAACCTTTCGAATATTTTTTTCCCTGACCTTCTGGTTCAATCTCTTCTAAGTCCTGGGCCCGATCAAACAAATTTTTTCTCTTTTTACAAGAATCATCAGCAAATTCCACTTCCATATCTTCATGACATTGTCCTTCCCTTTCAAGAATAAACCTCTGAGAAAGTGTTATATTAACAAGAGACCCATCTTCATTTACTTGCTTCTCCTTTATTTGCACTTTTTCTTCTTGTTCTTCACATTGCGTCTCAGGAACTGCCTCAGGTTCATAAGTCTCTTCCAATGGAAAATCCTCAGACTGTACTTCTCTACCCTGAGTATCTGACAAAATCTCAGGCAGACCAGACTGATCTGCAGCAGCCTGATTTCCAGAAACACACTCGATCTCCTGATGAGCTGTAGGGGCTAATGACCCATCTCCTGCACTAACAAACTGCCCTACAGGCACTCCTGCAGCCCATACATCCTCCGTTTTGGTTTTTTCACAGTTTTCAGAGAGTGCTTGATTACCTGCATTCACTTTCAGTTTTATTTGGTTATTCTCCACAGTACAGAGTCTCAAGTCTGAGGCCCTGCATTCAGAAATCCTCTCTACCTGTGTGGTTTCACTGTCTTGGCCTGTGTTCAGAGAACCTGAACTGATGTCTGTATTCAAGGGCTGGCTACATACACTTGCAGAAAGCATCAGCTTACAGGACTCAGAAGGCTTTGATGCAGAGTTGCCTATAGATATCTTTGACAAAGCATCTGTGGGTCCAGAGAGGTCTCCTGATAAGCACAAAGGGGTTAAAGCAGCAGGTTTTTCTTCTCCTTCATGCTTCTTCTCTGGGCTCTGAGTTGGAACAAAGATGTCCTAAAATGAAAGAAGTGGGACATGGAGTATCAGGGCATCCCAAGTAGGATTGTTTATTTATTATTCCTAAGACATTACACTGGATTATGGAGTAGAGCCAGCTCAGCACAAAACTACAGATAAAACCTCTACCAACAAAACCAAAGCCAAGCAACCAAATGAAAATACAAAACTTTATTTTCACCAATTTACAAGTCATGATTGTCCTATTCTTGCTGAGAAAAATTATCACCACACATTACTATTTAGTATGTCTGTGGCAAAGTCGGACACAATTTTTGGTACACTTCTCACTACCAAATCACAAAACACAGGGCAAGTATGGCAGATTAGTAGCTATTTCTAGTTAAACAACCAAGGGTTCTGGAAATATTCTCTGCTATATCTATTAACATGAACACTGTTTCCAGCTAAGGAAAAACTCTGCTTCAACTAATGAAGTTTCTAGCACAACCTTTATTTTCTGTCTTAAGTTGATGAGACTTGTAATACTAAGCTATAAATCCAGCAACTGCCTGCTAAATCCCTTTGTACAGTTATAATTTCCAAAATCAAAAAGCACAAAGGAAACAACAGATAATAAGAATAAGCAACTTGAAAAATGCAGTAAATGAATTCTAGCCTAGCAGGAGAATATAAATGCTCTATTACAAAACAGCTTCCCTTTCTCCACGACAAACAATGCTAAGGTCTAGCCTGATAAAAGTCAATTTATGATGACGCAAGATGCCAAGTTCAACATAAGAAAGGAGCGGCCTTCCTCCTTTAGAAAAAAAAAAAAAAAAAAAAAACCACACAACAAAAAAGGTTTCTAGCATAGTCCAAGATAACAACAACTTCTATGTTCGGTAACTCACTATGCCCTCTTAAGCTGTTCCGCATTTTCTCTGCAGGTAAAACTGCTACAATCAATATATAACCGTGACTGGTGGGAACAGGGAAGTTCATGAGAACCATCTTAGTCAGGAAGCTCAACACAGAAGCAGAGATTGACTCAAACACGCCTTCTGCATCAGCCATATAAAAACCTCACAAAAGATATCTACATGAACCCTTACATGAGAAAACTCTGGTTGTGATGGTATAGGTACAGATCCAGACCCAGGAAAGAAGGTTGGTGCACTCAGGGACACTGGAGTTGAAGCCTGTGGCTGGACAAGGGGTCTTGGAGGAATACATGGGATGGCCATCTCCACCAGTGTATCATCTTTCTGCTTTTGCATCAGTTCTCTTCCTTCTGCAGGGATAGATATATCCACCTGTTCATCTAGTTTGAAAGAGCAGAAGAGATATTACAGCCAAATTCTTGCATTGTTCCTAAACTTTCCAACATGCTACTAAAAGATTCATCTTCAGTGGCATATTTAACTTTGTAGAATGTTCTCTCCAGGAAGAATCTTCTGGACGGGAAAAAAAAAAGATCAACAAAAACATCCATATCCTTACATTCAAATGCGGGAAGCAAGTGTGTTTTGTTACAAGTTCATATGACTATTTTGCTACAGGTCTAGAACTTCTACAACTAAAAAACGTATCTGAAATTTATCAGAAGCATTTTTCTGAAGTTTTTTTCCTTTTGCTATCTTTATTAAAATGTAACTAAGTTCAGACCCCAGCTAACAAAATATCCATGCTAACACTATGTCACAGAAAGGAACAGTTGATTTTGTATCATACTAAAAGTCTGCATATCAGGGATATGCAGATATCCCTGATGGTGAACAGGTGCTCAGAGAAAATTTTTAAGAACCAAGGTATCATATGGAACATACGGAACAATCTTTTGGCATAAGGTTCTAAATTCACACATATAGCATATGAAAGCTTTTTAAAATATTGTGCAAGTCATCTCTGTTAAGGTAAAATAACTGTTATGATTCAGTCCTTATCTGTCTTTCCTACTGCCCTAACAGTATAGACTTAATACAAGTATCTGCCTATAGCAAGAATGACTAGTCCCTAAGAAAGGAGGACAATTGCAAGCAGCAATCTGCATCCCATACAGAGTATTTCCCACCTTTCAAGTGAAGGAGAGCTAGCCAACAGTACTAATTTTATTAGGATAGTGAAGCAGGAAGTATCGACAGAGAGAGAATATAAAGAATTATAGACAACAGTCACAGACACAGATCTCCCTTCATCTACCCCCACTCAGTGTTCTCAATCCTACTTTACTCCTTAAATATAATTTTAGCAAGTTTTGAAAAGGCTGCAAGCTCAGACTAAACCACAGAGCACCGAAACACAAACCACAGACAGTACGCACAACATTTTACCTTTTCCTTGTTCTTGTTCAGTAGGACTGCTGGGGACAAGAGCACTGGGTCCAAAGGCAACAGGAGGTGGAATAACCAGGCCTGAAGAGACACTGCAGACCAAGAAAAGGGAATATGGAAATGAACACCATACCTCACTAAACCATGCATTGAGTTCTCCCCTCATCAAGCTCCAGCTTGTCACAGCAGGACTCTTCTCATGAAAGGAGTGTCAGGTGTTCACGAGCAAAAGACCAGCAATGGTCAATGGACCACATGGGCACCATTAGTTCATTTCATTGCAAAATAAAGCCATGCTCCCTCCATGGTGCAAAATTAACACACTGATTGCTTAAGATCAAGCACAAATCCTTGAATAAAGAAGAGAGTGATGGAAATGCACTACTGAAATAAAGTTATTGCAATAGTTTGGAGATTTTTTGCTTACATGGAATGACCCTCCTGTACAAGGACTGCCTGTCCAGAGAGCTGCAGGACGTGCAGACTGCGGGCAGGGGTACAGGCCAGAGAACTTCCCTCTTCTGCCCTGGTTATTGGACAGCCACTCCCTGCAGTGATTTCAAACAAAAGGAAATAAAGTTAGAAATACGGCCAATAACCAAGGTGATCAGAAAATTCTGAGGAATTAAATTCCTGCTACTGCACAATTACTTTTCAGATAGGCAAGGACAAGCTGATCTTCACCAAGTTTGTGAAGGACTGCACATGGAAGTTCAGAATGTGAAATGTAAGCACAATATGGTTCAGATGAAAAGGATAAATTTGAATAGATTTTAGACTGTACAAGTCTTCCTGCCCTGAGAATTTAAAAAAAAATCCCCAATGGCTCCAATATCAGCACATTTGATCCAGCACTAGAATGCAAATACACGCAAGGTTCTAGTAAGAACAGACATCTTGTGTTGACCACTGACTCAGTGTGAGGAGAAGGTTGTTACTGAACTTTCTGGATACAGAGGGTTCATGCACAAGGTCATACTGGTATAGACATGACTGGACATAAATTTGTCTACACCACTTATCCACATTTTACATGGTGTGTCACTACCAAGGGTGAGCATTATTACCACCAGTTTCAGAAGAGGGTAAAAGGCAGGCTTGGGTTTTGTTCTTCAAGGGGCACAAAAGAAAGGAAATTAAATGTACTTAACAAGCCAGTGTAACTGTTCTAACAGGAAGTGACATTAGACATTGCTCCATAGTATAGTGAAAGAGGTTGCAGCCTTTCATTTCCAAAGTGTTCTCAATTTTAACAGAAACTACATGAAAAATACAGCACTCTACATCCTAAAACACTACACGTCTATAAAGATCAAGTAGGTATAATGCTTACAACTATCCCTGGGATGGATATTTTGGCTCTGCTTGTCCATTGTTACCTGTTGCATGATTCTCAGGAAACATCTCTTCCTGAGTTGACAAGATATCTGACTCCTCATGACCAGAACTAAGGGATTTCTCAGTTTTACTGGGGTCACTGACAGGTGTTTTCTTCCTAATATGCTCTTCTGCTTCCTGAAGAGTTCTAGAAAGGCAAGACACAGTCATTGACCCGAGAAAATCAAAGTATTAAGTAGGACTACAATATTGTAAAGAAAATCTATCAGAACAGGTGAAAGGTATTCACTTGTGCATAACACAGGAAAAAAAAGAAGAGAAGGACGACCGACCTCTCCTGACAAAAAAACGTTTTCCTCTTTGATGAGTTATACTTTCAGAATTGGTTTTTAAGTTTTCTACCAACCTAAGTGGTGCTTAAATGGAATGCAGATTGTTCTACTGACTTCTATTCAGTGTGGATTCTAGGAATTTTCTTTCACCTCCTTTTTAAGGTTATTTTGTGGCAGAATATGATAATACAAGATAAGCTAAATGTTATACAAATTTTATGCCAGATAAAAAGTATTCAAGAAACTGAAGTTTCACAATTAAAAATAATTAAAACTATAAAGCTTACAATAGCAAATACTCAAAAATCGTCCTGGAATACGCACCACTTAGCTTCTAGATTTCTCCTGCGCAGTGAAGCCCACACTACAGTGATTATGTTATTTCAAGATAACTTCTGTGACTTAAAATGAAGTAACGCTTCTAGTACATTCTAGTCATACAACTTTAAGAAAATTATTATTATGCAGTGCACTCTCCCTTATTGATATTGCTATCTTTGTGTGTAGGAGGTTGATATCACCTCTTTTCTCAGCTATGAATGCTAAGAGCACTCTTTAGTCAGCACTGCTGCGAAAAGGTCTCAGCAGTACTTCATCTTTCCTTTCACTTTTCTCTTTTGCCTTGAACCCTCTCCAATGTCCAAAAATCTAGTTTAAAAAAAGACACAAATCAGCTTCCAGAATGCCCATAAGAGACCTACAAAGAAGACAGACTGTTTTACCTTTCAGACTTCTCTGCCTGGCTTTTCAAAGCAGTATGTGCTTCTGTGTTGGAGACAGTTTCTGTCCTGTCCCTATGCAGTTCTACGAAGAGAGATTTAAAAAAAAAAAAAAATTGTCTTGTTACAAACAAGAAAGTGAAAGTGTAGTTCTGTAATTTACACAAATACCAAGTCAAGCTGCTTTATGTGAAAGAAAAAAAAATAAAATCCTGCACAAGCTACAATAACAAGGGAAAAAAAAGAAAAAAAAAAAAAAAAAGAAAAGAAAAAAACCCACAGAACGAGGTTCTTACCAGGGAGGGAATTCAATATCAAATTGTCTAAATGTTCCGGAAACAAATCAGGAAAGAGAGGTGCAAGAATCAATGATGATAACATCTGTACAGCTACAAGAAAACAAATTAACTAGAAAAGAGAAGACAAAATTCTTTGCAACTACCTATGATCTGAGAACTCATTTTTGAAAACTACTAATACCGTATTTCCTGCCAAAGAAACATAACATTTATAATTTAAAGAGACCAGACAGAATCTACAGAGCAGCAAAAGGATATCTATAATCAATGCTACCTACCATCTTTAGACCTGTTCTCCACAAGTCTGGAAGAAAGAACTGCAGCTCCAGGGTGAAGCTGATGCCTACCATCTCCTTCATTAGGCACGAAGTTGCTCTCAAAGTCCTGGCTCTGTGAGAGCTCTAGAGCTCCAAACTGCAGCTGTGACGTGCCTGTATCTAACACCGAACATCCATTACAAATATATATACAAGACCCCCACAATTTTAAAGAGCCATCTATTACATTTACAAGGGCAAAAGATATACCCTCTAACATGTAAAGTATTTAGGCTATTACTGAAACTCTGAATAAACTAACAGACTCTGACCTCAGCTGTGCTAATTAAAATAAAGTCACAAAACAGGGACGGTGGCCATTAACTCAGAAATCGGTATTAATCAGCAATATCTTTTGTAATGCCACTAGGTACTGCAGCAGGTTTTCATACCATGATGAGAAAATAATTTTCATACTACACAGCCTGTGTCTGAAAGTCCTCTGATGACAACAACCACTATGCCAGTTCATAAAAAGGTTCCATTTCCTAACGGTTGTGATGCATCTCTGCTTCTTTTAAATCATTTCCAGTCTCCAAGATCCAAGTTAACACTGATCAACACTCTTTATTTCAAACACCAAAGCATATATGCCAACTTCCAGAAAAAGATGTCAATTCCTAACCAATTATTGCTGGCACAACTACTCCTGGTGAGGCAAGTGAGGTAGCTCAACTGAAAAACTGCACAGATGGTGGATCTGACTCAAAACCCCTAGAAAAGATCTGAAATGGAGAAGTTACCTTCTGCATAGGGCGAAGCAGCACAGTCCTCAACATCACCTTCACCTCGTTCCCCGGCCTTTCCAAGGACACTGCAACAGAAAGACTTGCTCAGGTCGCGCAGGGGTTCCTGCAGGACGCCTTCTCGCGGCTCGTGCTCCGGCGGGGGCCGGGCGCGGCCGCAGCTGCACCGATATTGCGTTCTCGGCCTGTCCTCAGGAGAGGCCCCGGAGGCAGCGGCCAAGAGCCTCGGGATGGCGGCTCCCACGGCCTCGCCAACGTACCTGCTCTCCCTGCCGGGCGGTGGAGCCTCCTCCGAGATGCAGCCCCGCGGGCCGGCGGCGGCCAGGCCGGCCGGGCTCTCCATGGATTCTGCAAGCACAGCGCCGTCAGTGCCGCCGCGGCCCCCGGGCCTGCCGGAGCCCCGCGCCCCGCCCTTACCTGCGGGTCGCTCCCGGTCCCCCCCGCCGCCCTTGGGCGCCCGGCTGCCGATGGGATCGCACACGATCTCCTGCAAGACAGAGGCAGGGGCCGCGTCAGGGCCGGGCTGGGGTGGGCGGTGCCGCCGCCGCATCGCGCACTCACCAGCACGGGGCTCGGGCTCCGCCGGGCCGGCAGCCGGCGGGCCAGCACACCGAGCCAGGCCTGCTCCGCGTCCGCCTCCGCGCCCGCGCCCTGGGGCTGCGAGTCCTCCACGATGAGGCGGGGTGTGTCCTGCTGCGAGAAGCCGGGGTCCAGCTGGCTGCTGCTGCTGCTGCTGCTTCTGCCGCCGCCGCGCTCCATGCAGGGCGCCGCAGGCGGCGAAACCCAGGAGCCCGTGGGAGCCCAACTCGGCCCAGCCCTACGCCGCGCTTCCCGCCACGGCCATCTTGCCGAGCGCCAATTGGCGCGCGCGACCCGCCCGCCCCGCGCCGTTACCGGGGAAACGCGCGGGGGGATCGGCAGCGGGATTGACACGGCTCCCGGGATCGACAGCGGCCGCGGAGCGGGAACGGCGGGGGGTTCGGAGCTGTGCCGCCCTCTCGGCCTCTCCGCGAGCAGCTGGAAGAGACGAAAGAGCCCCGTGTCCTCCGCCCGGCCCGAGCCGGGGCTCGCTCGAGGGCGAAGGCAGCAACCGCCCTCCTGGCGCACACGGCGGGCCGGGGGATTTTCTCGCGGTGCCCTTCAGACCGCCTTTTCATCAGAGGTACAAAACAGCTCCATGCTCGGTCTCCGGCACAGACCGAGCACCGCGTATCCCGGACAGCCACCGCCGGGTACCTCCTTTTTTTGGGTATCACAGGGGAGTGAAATCCCATTAATTTCTCTGTGTTTATATTACTAAACGGTTATCGAAGAAACCTTGTGTACAAATTGTGACACCGTTGTTGTCTTGCAGCATTCAACTTCTTGCCTAAAAAATAGTGAGTTTGAATATGTCACCGAAAATCGCTCCCATGTGTTAGTGAGCCAGGCTTTACTTTATTCTGGCCGGAGATACGTAGTGAATCATTCCAGCTACCTATATTCTTTTCAAGACTTTTCGCGTATTTATACATTTTAGCAAATAAAGATATTAACATGCATTGGTTCTAAGTTACATCATTGTCTTCATTTAATTAGTATTTTATCCTTTATTGCCTAATATTTGGTCCACATTCTTTGGTTCTCTTATCATTCTTCCTTAGTCAGAGAGTCTCCAACTCTCAGGCTATAATGTCTTTGTTAATTCCCTCTGTATTTTCTGGTTACTCCAACATGTCTTTGAAGACCCACAAATTTAAGATCTAAGATGTCTGACCTTCATCTCCCTCAAGCTTTGTTTATTAAAGCCTATCAGAGCTAGTCCAGAGAAACTCAAAGCTTTGACAATTTAAAGATTAAACGACAAGAGTCTGCAGGATAAAAAAAGAATCTAGCTAACTGCTACCATTAATAAAAATTTTAGGAAAGTTATATCATTTGCAACAATTCCCCTCTTTGGAAGTGATCTTAACTATTTCTTTTAAGATTACTTCCACTTAACTCACCGAGTATTTAGCAAGATTTAAGACACTAAAATACAATAATCACTATTAATAATCTCCAACAGACTAATTTAAATCTCCTTTTGCAAGTTCTCTTTATTTCTGCACCTCTCTATTTTATATATGAGAATTCTGTATATTCTATTTAAAACCCTGTTCTAGAACCAAAACCACAGAAGTCTGAAAAAATAGTACCTGGCCTAGAAGAAACTGTTATGCAACTTCACAGACAAAAAGTGAAACATAGTGAAACAATGTAAATATGAGTTTGTGTTACAGATTTGTGTGTAATGCAAAATCCAAGTTTACACATGCACGTTAAGAGCATTAAACAGGCTACAAATATTTACAATTGCTACACAGGAGGGATGCTTTAGTGTTCAGCTCCCAGAAGATGTTCCTTTGCCACATATTGAGCTGCGTTATTGAAATGTTGTCCTAGAAGTGTTAACAGTTAGCTTTCAAAACCCACAGAGGATAATGAGGTATGTGAAGACTAGAAGTAGCAAATATGCCGGTCACTCTCTCAAAATTCCCTTCAATTCCTTGAAAACTTTGATAACAAATCCTCAGGCAAATTACCATTTTGTATCTAGAAGATAACAAGGAGAGTAGTTAACAGCCAACACAGATCTCTAAAGACAAGGTGTATAATATCAATGTGATGTCAGAGCAACAGGACAGAAGTGGCAGAATAACTACCATAGTAAGACTTTTGGCAGTATCTATATGAGATTCTCATAAGCAAACTAGGGAAGCAGTGATGAAATTTCAGTAATATCCATCTTTGGAAAGTAATAATCACCAGTTCTGTGTCAAAACAAATACATCTGAGTGAGGGTTCAAACATCAATGTGTTTTTCCTGGTCACCGTTCATGGTTTTCTTTTACCACCTTGGTCACAAAATAAGGAGTACGCTTATTAATTCACAACCATCCAACACTGAGAGGGACTAGAAGTAGTAGAAGGAAGTTTTTTTAAATGGTCTGAAAACCAGCCAAAGTACAATGCGGGTAAGAACAATATTCTACAAAAGGAAATAACTGACTGTACAAGTTCAGGATGGGACTGCTGGACTGTGTGGCATTTCTGTAAAACAGAGCAATGGTGGTCACAGTGCCTGACAAACTGAGTCAGTGTCATGCTGCTGCCACAGGAAAAGGTGCAAACAGCAAGCATTATACTCGTGTGTAGAATGGATACATTAATAATAATGGCCAGTCTTCGCGAGCGAAGATCCGGGGAAGGTCTTTCCACCTTCCAGCCTGCGCATTGGATTTTTTAGGTGAGACACAGTGTGCGCGGAACTGAGCCCACCCTTTAATCCTAAGGTTCATCTGCCGGGGCCAAGCGAGCTTGGACGGTGGCAGCGAGGTCCTTAGGACGTAGGTGGGTTGCCTATAAGGGCTAACGAGCCCCACCTGCCCGGGAGTGGCCCTGACCGGGAATCGAACCCGGGTCTCGGCAGTGACAGCGCGGCGCCTTTACCACTAGACCACCAGGGGCTCCTGGATACATTAGATGCATAAAATAATTCCTGTACTCTGCACTGGCAAGGCCTAAGCTAAATGCTACATTTACTGAGAAGATTACAAAGGATTTGGCTATCCTAACAGTTGTCAGAGAGAAAAAAGGGGATGGCAAATAACTTGTTTCTCATATTCACAGTTTAGAGCACAACTGTGAATTTGTTTTTGTGAACTGAAGTAGATTTAAATTAACATAAGACAAAACAGAAATAAGCAAAAATATTTAAAAAGGCTAAAGAAGTTCTAAAAATTATGCAATCTCTAAAATTTAAGACTTTTTTTAAAGTAATAGCAAAGGGGTATAGTTGATCTTAGTCTGAAATAGGAACTTGGACTAGATTATCTCTGGGGTCTCCTTCCAGTCTCATTTTTCTGCAATTCAATACTTTTGCATGAACCTGGGTAGGACAAAATTGAGAGCTCAATCCAGGTGCTCAAATTTGTAAATGCCAAATGCATGGCTTTACTGAACAGGGGAAGTTGTGAAAGACACGGTTATGGTGGAAAGTGTAGCATTATTATTTCTTTGCACTGCTCAGTAAGGCTGCTGGCAACCCACACAGTTTAGTCTGCAAAAAAAATCTTAGTAATATTCCGTTTGTGCTCATTTTTTATGCTTGTGCTTTGCCTGGCCATTTCAGCTATATTTTTTTGACTGGATTTAGTTATGAGGAAAGATGAAACAAAAAGGTAAGAATTCTGGCCACTTTGTACTTAATATTTAATTGATTAAAAATCACCTTGGCTTCAAAGAAGAATTGCCATTTAAGTATGATTTAGTACTTTTATTAATATGGACATTTTTAGCTGGTGAGGACAGGAAGTCATCATCCCAGGTTAAAGGACTGAGAAACTGAAATTGTGTAGATTGCTCTTCCTATGATATGAAAGTCCTTTTTATGCTATTTTGATCCTACTTTCTAAATCTGTTTTTATAAAGGTAATTTACCTGTGACTCATCATCCTTCACTGTTTGAGGTAGTCCTTTAGTCTCCTTTTGCCACTCTTCTTCTGTGATATTTGTCGGGATCTCTAATATCTGCAATCAGCCCAGTCAGCTTTTGGTATTTCATGGGTGTGCTAGCTACTGCTGCAGTGCTTGAAAGCAGAATTTTACACCATAATTGCGATACAGGTCTATTATATGGTTCCAGAATGTGAATTTACAGGGAAAAGGAGGAACTTAATAGGCTGGAAATCCTTCACTTCACTGCCTTATGCAGTGCACACACATTAGGACTCAAGCCTATTCTACTGCAATTCTACGGTGACCACGGACCTCTGATGCACATCAGAAAGCAACAGAAATACCATCCTTTTATGACCTGATGGTACAGTAGAAGAATGCAAATGGATCCCATCACCAGAACTCATGTTTTAATTGAAAGTCTTCCCCAGAGGTTCTAGTCTCTGCGTTTGGATATTCTTTTTAAGCTTTCACTCCAATTTGCATGTCTCCTGTTTCATTTCTTCTTGGCAGAAAGCCAGCTGGAGGAGCATCTCTGCACTGCAGTGAAAAGCTGCAGCTCTGGAAAGCTACCACGTCAAAAATAAGCAGCAAAACTGAATCACCTGAAAACAGAAAGTACTTCTACTAGCTGGTGTCAAAATATCTGAAAATCTTTCATCTTTGTGTTTTGTTGTCATGTTTTCCTTCCATGATCTACAATTCTGCTGTCATAACGGAATTTAATGTATGCTGGCATTTATTTGCAGGTTTATTTGCTTTATTCACATATCTACCTGATCAGTGCAATCCCCAAGACAAACTAAATTGTTGCTGCTATGCAGGTTACATCACAGAAAAATAAATTAAACCCTTTTGAGACATTAATTCTGCATTTCATAAAGATCATAGCCAGTGGTGTCACCACAATTTAATGTGAAAAAGACCTATTGCATCATCTCCTAATTTCTGTTGAGAGCTAGAGCACCTTTTAAGATCTCAATTTAAGAGAACTCTCTAAGCTAGTAACATCAATTGTAGCCTGCAGAGATAAATATTCTGTATTTTCCTTCCTTTCTGTGGTTGTCTTGATTATCTTTTGTTGGAGTCCTGTGACACTATGGGTCCACATATGCTTGCCAAAATGCTGACTGTCAGAACCTTCTGAGGTTTCAAGTATGTCCTCAATGCAGGCTTGGTGTGTATGAGGGAGCAAAATAGGGCAGGATTTATCTGCCCATCAAGTTCCTAAACTGTAGCTCTGGAAATCTTGGGGACTGCAGGGGCAGAACCTGACACTGTTTCAGGAAACGCTGCGCATTATTGCTGACTTGACTTGTTTTACCATAGCTGGCTT